GTTCTTTCGCCTAATCAAGCCAACACTGTAGGCTCTGTGTGGAGGAAGTGTAACCCTATCTCACTGCCTGACAACTCCTTCAGTTCAAGACTTTGTTTCCTCAGTCTTCACAAACTGTAACAAACCATTAAGTGTGATTTTATTTTTTTCTCCCTTTTTTCTCCCCCTTCGTTCTTTCAGCAACCATTTTGACTCAGCCTTCCTTTCTGGTTCTTTTCCTTATGAATAATAACTCTGAAGACTGTACTGACTTCATACATACCCATCATCCTTAGAGCTTTTCAACATCTATTTTATTGACTAGTCAAAGGAAACGCAGCATCCTTCAAAAATTCTCCTTTCTACAAAAAAACCCAACCAAGTTCTATCTTATCTGTCTAGTTTGTTTTGAAGTGTTCCAACTAGAAATGGATGGACAGGCTTCTTGATGAAGCTAAAAAGAGGGTCTTGCAGCTGTAGAGTTTGACCCAGAAGACGTGGGTTTCACTTCCAGTTCCCTGAGAGTGTGAGTAACACAGTGACTTCATGGAAGTGACACCAAAATATAATTGTATTTTGTTGAGCCTGGATGTGAAAAGAAATTAGGTGTGTTCATAAACCTCATTGGAACAAGAGGAGCTGCTGCCCCAGACTCTCAAGACTGCCTTCAAGGGAGGGTCAGCAGCCAAATTGTGCTGCCAAAGATATTCTCCCTGGGGCCCTGATGCTGACATGAGGGACACTGAGTGAGGGAGCTGTGTAGGAGTGAGGGAAAGAACACAGACAATCATGGAGAAGGCCTTGTAACTTTAATTAAAGCCCTGCAGAGCTCTCAGACGAAGTGCCAGCTGGGAAGAAACCTTTCCTTGATTTTTTCTGTTGGACTTCAATATTTCTAAACAAGCAGGTTCGTACCAGACTTCACCTCCTGGTGAGAACAAGTACAAAACCCCCAGACATTGACTAATCTGTCAAAAGGGAAAATGTCCTTATCCAGCCTCCTAACTCTAAAATGAAGGTTCTAATTCTTCCTTGCCATTTTTGCACTGTCGTGAAGAAGAAAGATTTTCTAAATAGTCACCAAGTGGAGATGGATCGAAGCTGCCGATACCTGTCTGAATCCCAGTTCCAAAACACTCAGACTGTTGACATCTGTGGTTTTGTCATGGGACATTTTCTCTTGAAACGGGCCACACAGTGAAAATTTAAATGCATCGGGTCACTTTTTAGTTGTGTGTAGGGGTGCTTTTTTGTTGTTTTTTTTTTTCCAGAGCACATATCAAAATCAATGAGCAAAGACTGTTTTCTTCCCCACTGTGTCATCTGTAAAAAGGTTGTGCTGGGAAACAGAGATAGTGGTCCTGTGGAAAATCCCACAGGAGCTTTCCAGGTGATCCTCCACCACCTCCAGTTCTATCAGTCTTGGTCTAAGTTCCTTGTGATTCTTGAACAATGGATTGCCTGAGAACACCAAAGGAAACTGGTTGTTCCTGAACCTACCAAACACGCCCTTTGCAGGGGCTGTGAAGCATTACCTTCCTGCTTTGCTGTGGAGCATTACTGTCCCAGGCAGCATGACTCGCCTCCTCCTGCTCTCCCCCTCGGCTGGCTGTCATCTTCAGAAGGAGCCAGAGAGGATGAAACAAGGTGGGCATGTTTTCACTGCAATCCCTCCGTCCCTTTTCCTTGTTGGTTCATTACTGAGTCTTCATCTTGCTGGTGGTCGCTAATGGTTGGCGCTCAGGACAACCTCGCAGAGCATCACAAATTCACAGCTCAGATCATAGGGCTTAGGTGGTTTTCACTTCCTTGGTGTTTGTCAGACCATCATTTCATCATACTCCAAACCTGAACCATCTTTCCAGAAAAGCAATACCCAGAGTCCTAATACAAACTACAAGTAGATCTCTTCATGTCTTAAAGTCATTAAAAATGCTCTTATAAAAAAGATTTATTCTCAGGGCTTTTACCCAGACTTCTGCATGGAGTTGGCAAAGACATTATGTAATAGCTAAATCTTCATTAGTTATATCTGTTTGCTTTGTGCCTTCATGACAATGATGAAAGCTGTAAATAAGTATATTGTCCCATCTTAACAAGGATAGCGTATCCATCAATAAGGACACTTGCTCTGCTGAGATCTTTGCAAGGCTGTACCAGGGAGTAAATTAAAGGGAGAACAACATCCTTCATTTAAAGTGTCCTTGTTCTGTCACTTAATGTTTTACCCTTGCTAATATCTTTCAAAGTCTGGCTGTTAGTCAGAAGAGTCACTCAGTAAATGTGACATATTTTATCCAGCCTAAGTCTACTCGGTCCTAGAATGATTTTTCTAGGCAGCCGTGGCTGGAAGTGTGACTTGAAACTCCTCCTATGGTTTCTCACTTCAGTTTCCCAGCAGGCACCAAAGTTCCCCAGTGGGGAGCGTGAGGATGGAAGGGGCGATCAGCAGCTGAACTGAACAGGGAGGTGCAAACCCTTCGGTTTGGAGTGGCAGATGAGTCGTCTGGATAAAAGCAGATGGGATGAGACTCCACTCTTGGTAATGTTCACTTCAGCCTGGACTGACTGGCTGGTAACACCATGCTTAGCCGAGGCGTCCCCTCTCAGCAACGGCCCCAACTAAGTGCATGCTAACTTGAAACTGCCCTGTATGTCGAGGCTATCCTTAATCTACACGCAGATGACAGAGTCATCGGTCCACAGCATTTAGGCAGGAGCTACAGGTGATCTCTGGCATAGATTGAGGAGGGGGTAAGTAGTGGTCAGTGCCACTTGCTGGGAGAGGTCCATGCTTGCAGCTCCCTGCCAAGGGGAAAGCCCAAACAAAGCACATCCCATGTGAGCCCACCTGCCTCTGCACCAGCACTGCCTGGCTGAGGCTGAGCAAATGCATCCTCTGCAGGGCTCTCCCCTGCCCCAGGAGGGGCAGGAATAGCTTCCAGGGCGCAGAGCTGTGAGCTTTCCCCCTGGTGTGGTGGGCACAGAAAGGAGCCTGCCAAGGTCCTGAGGTTCCCACCGAAACTAGCCCCTTCCCTGGCTTCTCCGCATGGTGTTTATACCACTGCCTTCAGCACAGGTATCCCTGGCTCACCCTAGGGTTAAAAAAAAAAAAAAATGTGCAAAAAGAAATGCAAGGAGACTTGAGGCGCTGGACTTGCTCCAGGTTTATGGGACAGTCCAGGAGTGAAAATCAGAGTGTGGCCTGCAGAGGGAAGAAAAGAGCTGTGGTAGCACCACTGCAGCTTCCCGGGGGTCTGCTCCTCTTCCCGCTGCCCATGCCTGCTCCCCACCGTGCTGCTCCTCCGGAGCAGGCTCCGAACTGAATAGCCTGCCTTTAACCATTAAATGCGTTTACCGCCCATTTATATCAAACCAAAATTAAACTGCTGGATTTTATTCAAGAGTCATTCCCCCTGAGAAAGGGCTGAGAAGAAAATAATGGTTAGCTCAATGCCTCGCCCATCCAGCACGGAGAAAAATATCCCCCCAGGAGGTAAGGTGAGAAGTGAGGCTTGGCTAGCGCCTTGCCTCATTGCATTGTTATCCGTATATAAGCCAATTTCTCAATCCATTTAGAAATTCACTAATTGTCATTGGAGCTATTTGCTGACGACTGTGAAGTAGCTTTGTAATGAAGAGGAAGTCCATTTATTCGTTAACATTTGCGAAAATAATTGCCTGTCACTTAACCGAGCATCCTTTGCCCCAGAAACACTTGCTCTTCAGCATTTTTTTTTTCCCTTTGAGCTGCACACTTTGAAACACCACTTATAATTTCCAGTCCCCGAAGGACTCATTCTCGTCTGCTGTGACATGAGCACACTCCACAAGAGGACACTAAATGTCCTGTCACTTTTGCTGTGAGGAGAAGAGAGTATATTAATGGTGCTGCAGGAGGCCTCCGGCAGGCAGAAACTGTGTGGTTTTATGGGGTGGTGGCTCCTCTGCAGCCTGCTCTGTGCCTCTGCTGGGCATCCCCATGGTGCTGGGAGAGGCTGTGGCTGCAGGGCTTAGTGCCCATCGGCCCATCTCTGGCCCAGGAGATGAGGCAAATGAGATAGCCCCAGCCTCACCAACTGAGCTCCAGAGGCCCTCTTCTGCCCCCCGCTTGCTAGTTCTGCTCTCAGCCCTCAGGAAGGCAAAAGGCGTGCATGAAGCCGGGCAGGCACCAGGGAGTGAGTCCTGGCGGGAGGAGAAAAGTTTTTTTGTGGAGGTAAAGGAACAATGTCTCAGGAAGGGAATGGGGAGAGGATGGAGATCTCTATTCCTCAGCTCAGCCCCCATGAGTATGGCCAAGACCTCCACCAGTGCCTTTCATGCCACGGGTGACACCCCACAACAACTTTGTCCCCCATGCTCGCCCCTCCCCACCGTGCCCAGCCCTTCCTCTGTGACCACCACTGCTCCCACCAACACAGATAACAGAAGCCCTTAGCTTTGAGGAAGCAAAATTCAACTTTTCCTACGTAACAGAAAGGCTTCGAGGTGCTCTGCTTGCTGGGGAAGATGGGCTTGCCGTAGCGGTTAACCAGAGCACCTGAGGTGCCTTGGCAGGTCCTCTGGAGATAAGCGGGAGCAAAGGAGGTTCCCCGGAATCAATAGAGATCCGCCCTCTTGCACCTGCAGGGCTTAAGCTGCTGTAATAACTTTCACGCCAATGGCTGCTGGTTTGTTTGACAGCTGTGTTGAATTTTTATTGTTTCCCAGGCACGTGAATTTTCCCCATCCATTCCCAGGGCAAGGAGCGCCACATCTCCGGGGGGTGGACGGCTGCCAATGTTGACTGAAGAGTGCATGGAGCAGGAGATAAACGCTGCCCTGCTGCTGGGGCTCGGCGGAGACCTGCACCTCGCACCCTGCACTGGGCTTCTCCCCTGGGGCTCCTGGGAGCCAGGGCCAGCCTCACGCAACACCAGCATGCGTCATCTCCTCGGCGGGGACAGCAGACACCTCCCAGGGGGACCACAGGAGGATCACACCTCCCCAGCCAGCCCTGAGGAGTGGTGAGCAGAGCAACTCCTGGCGCAGTGAGACTGAAGAGAGGAGGGCCATGAGATCCTTGAGCAGCAAATAAGGACACCGTCGCAGATGTACTCGAGGTAACGTCCACGTTCAAGGTGCAGCCACTGCAACCTTACCCAACTGCACCAGCCGTGGGATTGGCCACTACCGTTTGGGATGACCCAGTCAGTTGGTGTCATTCTAGTGGGTCCAACGGAGTCATGGTAGCTCACAGCTTCTGGGAATGGCTTATTAGATGCATCTACTTTTCATGGGTGCCAGATTTCAAGTGTTTGCAAGTGTTAATTGCTGCTGGTACAGCGCCTTGGGAAGGTGGGGTGAAGGGCTGGGTTGAGCAGGTACTTTAGGTTGGGTTCCCCATGGAGAGCAGGATTCCTGGTTTGGGAAGACCGGAGATACTGGCTGTCTTTGCTTCTTGTGCAGGAATTTGATGTATTTCAAGATTAGGCGACTGCCTTTTTGCTTTCGGGTGCCGCATTGTTAAGAGGGAAAAGTGTGTGGGTGAGAGTAGATCAGCTCTGTGCAGGGAGAGCTGCCTGTTTACACCAGGGGATTTAGGCTTCCAGATATTTAATTTCTGGTAACTGTACTTCAGCTTGTTGAAACATTTCAGTCTTTAAAAGCCTCTTGTGGATAATGAGACTATGGGGAGGCGCCGCTCCCGGAGAGCCTCAGACTGGGGAGCAGGGGCAGACGGGGGCCTTGCTTTAGCAGCGCAATTAATGAGCAGGTAGGTACCAGCATTTGCAAGAAAACATTGGGAGAGAGGAAGATGAAACGAGGAGAGAGAGTTTTTCTTGCCTCCCTTGAAACCCAGAGCAAATGGAGCTTGCCTAAGTTAAAACTGTTCTGTCTGTATGCTGTGGGGTTGGGGGACTGTGGATGGCAGAGGTGGGGGAGGTAGGAGATGGTTCTGCTTTGAGGACCAGGGGATTACCTGGAGAAGGCTTGTGCCCCACAGCCAGCTCTGTAATGGCTCTGCAAACCCAGTAGAAGCCTTGGGGGTCCCTCCCAAAGCTGTCCCAACAAAGGAGCAGAGGGGTGGTGTGACCCCACACCCTGTGACCTGATTCAGAGGGCTAGTGGTATCAAGGAGAGCTGGGCCAGTGCTGGAGAGTCCCTGCCTTGTCTGCAGACCGGGCTGGTGCCCTCAGCTGAGGTGTCCTGTCTCCCATTGGCAGGTACAAGATAGCCGCAGACAGTGGTAATGGAGGGACCTTTGCAACTGTGTTGGAGGTTGAGTCTTGGGGGCTGGTACCAATGGGTAACTGGGCAGGAGAGGGAACCGCTTGTGAAAGATTGCAGGAGCATCTTCTCCTCACGGGAGAAGGGATCCTCAGGGATCCTCACACCACAGAGCTATGGGGAGGTCCTCACTGATGAACCATGGAGCCAAAGCTCCTGCTGGGAAAATGTTAGCCGCAGTCCTGCCTGGCTCCCACTCCCCACTCACACCTTCTCCACCCTGTTAATTATTACAAGGGAAGCGAGGAAGGCCAACATGCACCAAAGTCCAGTGTGAGAGAGAAGATCAGCAGTTTGCTCGCAGCCATGAGCCAGCCAACCCCAGCCACCACGGAGCTGCCCGTGCTGCCGGAGGACACGACAGCAGCCTTTGGGGTGGCAGACATCATCGTCGTGGTTATTTACTTCGCCTTTGTCCTCGCTGTCGGGATATGGGTGAGTCCCTGAGGTGACTGGGCTTAGGTCTGCCTGAGGTGGAGACCCCTTTGATCCTCCCCAGACCCCTTCAGGGTACAAACGTGTTCCCCTGCAAAGGGCATCCTCTGTGCACACCATTAACCCAGAGTTTATTTAGCATGTTTGGGGGTGACGGTGACCTTCCTCACCCCCACCCCCACCCGGGGACAACCCAGGAGTCATTCCCTGGAGATTGTTCTGGGAATGATGTCTGCCTCCCGTGCTGCAAAGTAGTCTCACACTGGGCAGGCAGGGAGCAAAAGAAAAGCCAGGGCTGGGGTGGTAAAGACTGAAATAGGACTTCAAAAAGCTTTGAAAAGATTATTGCTAATTATTTGTTCATGTTGCTTCCCAAAGGCCTCTTTCACAGAGACCTATAGTGTTCCAGTTGGCTGAAGCGTTTTGTCTTTCCCATTTGGTACAATCAAGGAGGAGCCATTTAAAAGGTACAAGCAGCTTCTTTCCAAAGCTGGACTATCAGCACAAAGAGAGGCAGAAGCCATGGGTGAAGCCTGGCATACCTGACAGATGCACAAACCAATTTTTGTAGCTGATGCTGAGACATTCAGCGGGCATTCAGGCTTCTCCTGGCCTGGTGGCAGTGCTGCTCACCAGCCTGGGTGCCGCCATGTGCATAGGCATTTTGCAGCAAATGGTGCCCGACCACGAGCTGCTGGTTGCCACAAACAGCAAACACAGTTAACCTCAGCCACATCAGAGGGGCTTGCTGGCCTATGGATGGCCCGTTGCTCTTCAAGTCCCCACAGTTCTCATGCAGTTCCTTGACGGGGCTGCGTGATGTGGCAGTACAGGTGTGGGGCTGCTGGAAACTCTGAATCCCCAGGAGTGTGAAGAAGCAAGGCAGCAGGAGCTGTAGCAGGATGTTGCTAATCATCCTGGAGCGCACCTGCATGTCGTGCCCAAATGCAGTCCTTGATGGCATCCCTTGGGATACAAGGCTGTCCTCTGATTCTCATCTCTGTGCCGTGTTCTCCCATATTAGACTCTGAAGGCCTTTGCCAGGGGTGCTGGACAGTGAGGAGGGAAATGCCTCCTCTTAGTGTGTCCTATTGTCAGAAGACGGACAACCTTTCTTGGAGCTGCAAACACATATCTTCACATGTCTGAGAGCAGGCAAACCCCTAGATTTCTCAAAATTAGGTGTTTTTCATAGGGGCCTTGCTTCAGCCTGCGTCAGAGCCATGCGCTACGTGTCTGTGCCGCTCTGAGCAGGGTGAGCCAGTTGGCTGCAAGGGAGTAGGACTAGGGTGGTGCAAGAAGGTGCTGACAAGATGTTTCAAGGCTATTGGGGTGGGTATTGGGTCTGACCTGACAGTGGGTAAAAGGAGAAAAACATTTTTTTTTTTCCTGTGCTTCTAGTCATCGATACGAGCAAGCCGGGGGACCATCGGGGGCTATTTCCTGGCTGGACGATCCATGACTTGGTGGCCTGTGAGTGAAATGCATCCCTCTGTTTTTCATGGTTCCAAAGCAGTTCCAGATGTAAGGAGGGCAGGTCTAGCAGGACCCAGTCCGTACATGTTTTGGCTGTAGTCTTGAAATGAAGAGGATCCACCAGCAATCATCCTGTGCAGCTTTGCTAATGGGCTACAGCGTGGAGCTGCCAGGCCAAAAGGATAGTTCAGCATCTTCAGTTTTTTTCAACTTTCAATTTCTTTGCTAAAGTCAGCAATAAACATGTTGACATTGATGGAAGCGAGGGAGCGCTGACTGCCTACCTGGGTTTGAGACTCCTTGGCCCCAGCTCACCAGAGATACCATTGTCCCCAAGCCAAGAGAGCATTAGGTAATCTAGGAATGTGCTATCCCATAAAAAAGCATTTAGAGACTGAAGAAAAAATAATCCCAAAGCCCAGGACTTTCTGAGCCCTTGCTATTTAGAGTAAAGTTGAGATTATTGACTAACGATGTAAAGGATATAAACTTCAAACCACCAAAGTATAAATCTTCACTATGAAGAAAAAGAAAAATCTATTGAAAGCGCCTTTTCTTGGGAGTGAAAGGTACATATAAAGATAATTTAAAGTTTGAAAGGAATAAAAACGCCACAGGAATAAAGATCCTTCTCAGCCAATGCCAGACTCTAGCACCATATATCTCTCCAGTGAGTCGTGGGTAACGGAATGTATTTCTCAACCAAAACACTGTGGTTTTTTTTCTTTTTTTCCTTTGGATGTACATTGCCCATAAATTCACTAGCCTAGATTTTCAACCTCTTCCATCAGATACACATACACCTCTCTAAAATCTGTTATTTCTTAAATGTTCTTTATACTTCTGTCTCGGCCAAGTGACATTTAATGGAAAAGCTTAGCATGATGGTTTTCTCTAATTAGGAGATGAAAATTAAAAGGTACTAAAATAGAACTTTTTTCCCCAAAATAATTCTTTTTTTATTTTCTTTTTTTTTCTTTTTTCTTTTTTATTTCTTTTTTATTTATTTTTTTTTCTTTTTTCTTTTTTCTTTCTTCTTTTTTTTTTTTTAAAAGAAAAGCCCAACCCAAATACATCCTCATTGCTTTTGGCTCCAAACACAGGTGGCCACTAAGTCTGTTGTGTACAGGTTGGCTCTTGGCTCTCCTGACTTCCCATTGTAGGCTCAAAGCAACCTCCAATGCTGTTCACTTTTCAGTTTCATTTGTCAGAGAGCCAATTCCACCTCTGCAGCACTCCTGCAGGCTCAGCTCCTCCTGGCCTTCACCTTGAGTACATGACTGGCTTCCATGTTTGTTTGTTTATTTTTTACAGGGGTGACAGATTTCTGCTGTGTGTTAGACAGCCTCAACTAAACCCTGATATTAGATTCTTGCTCCTGTGCAATGTGTCTCTTCTATTTCTGTGTCCAATACAGATATCAGGAAAACTGTTTACATTTCTTGAGAGCACCTCAGTTGCAAATTCATGTTGCAGCAGCCGGCTCTCTAATCAAGAGTTTTCTTAGACAGATGAGAAGGCAGAGCTGTTGGCAGGAATCAGTGTGGGTGTTGATGCCATATTAATGTTTTACCTTGCTCAAAGGTGAGAAGCAGATCAAATTCCATCATTCCTCGTTTCACATGTAGCAGTACTAAGGAGAGAAAAGCTCCTTGTAGATGATGTGGCTAAAAGCAAACTTTTTCTGGAGACGAAAAGGCTAGACTTGTCCTTTGGGTAACTTCTTATTTGACCCTGAGAGAGATTTGGTGTTGGCATGCAGAAAGGAGGTAAGGCTTTATGCCAAATAAAAGTAGTAATTAAGTCAGATAGTCTTTGCCCTATTTAAAGCACCTTGGAGCTTGCATTCTTCCAATTAGGGTGTCAATGAGCCATGGCAGGGACAGCTTACCATGCCTACAGTTAAAGTTAACCTGAGGCATTTGCATTTTCCAGCCTACTGCAGAGCTCAATATCTTTGACCCTGTGTTTAGACATTAAACACAAAAAACCTGCATGTTTCTAACATCATCCCTGCTGTGGTTCAGGAATCTCCTCCTTTAGGAGGAGCTCCAAGAGAGCACTCCCATCACTCTGGCTGTGTCAACCAACCACCACATGCATGTTCAGTGCAAGAGTTAAAAGAGGCTGGGCTGTCAGGGAGGCATGGAGAGGTAGAGCAAAGGTTGGAGAAGGCTGTTTCATGGACACTGAGGTATCTGTGGCTGCCACCAGACTTCCCTCTTTCTGTTGTAGTCCCCATAACAGGCACGTGTCTCAGGAGAACCACTGACAAAGTGAACCCCGATTCTGAGATTAAGCTTTGCTTTAGAGCAGGGGCAGTGGAAGGGAGAAGAGACACCCACTTTAAGATATAAAAGCATAGTTTTCTTTAAAAGGCAAACCCAACTCTCCATTAGCACCCAGCACCTACCCTACAAGGAGATGAGGCCCTGGGGAAAGAGAGAGTTGGGGGGATGTGCTTGGGCTGATACAGAAGTTCCTCAAGGTGACTTTCTGGGTGTTGAGCCTGTGCCATCTGTTTCAGATTGGAGCATCCCTGATGTCAAGCAACGTGGGCAGTGGATTATTCATCGGCCTGGCGGGCACTGGAGCAGCTGGGGGCCTTGCTGTTGGGGGCTTTGAGTGGAACGTAAGAGTCACTTTTGTTATCAACTAAGATGTCACTGTTTACAAAGGGACTGGGGTGTGTGTCAAAAATCAGATGTTAACAGTATCAGCAACTTCCAAGTTCCAAGAAGCCTCTAGATATTGAGACAGCCTTAAAAACATGAGATCTTTATTTTATTTTAAGTGGAGTCCACTAAAAATATTAGTTCTTTGACCTTCCCAGAAGCACGTGGTCATATTTTTAAGTTTTAGTCTGCACTGATCAAGATTAAAATAAAAGATAATGAATGTTGAAAAGGTACTTGGATAATACAAGCATTCTGGGTACAGGGAGTTTGAAAAAAAAGGCAGCATGTGCTCCTATATTCTGTGTAAAGCTATGGAGAATCGGCAACACTGAATTCACCTGTCAGCTGCCAAAACGTGATGTCTCTGGGGTGAACATCTGGGTGCCAATGCAGGTCTCATTCCGCCCTATTGAAGTGGCCTGGAAAATTGCCACTGACACCACACGGAGCATGAAAACCAGGCCCTTTGTGTGTGATGCTAATGAAATTTCTCAGCTGCAGTGATGAGGAGTGAGATTAGTGCCAACCTCACAATAAACATCACTCACCTAACTCTAAATCTCTTGTCTATATCAGCAGAGACTGCTAGTAGTGCTGGATACTTGCCAAGCATGGGCAGGGCCCACCAAAAGCTCTTTCCTGGGATATCTATTCACTGTGCTGTGGGTTTTTTTTGCTAAAACATTAAGATCACCTCTAAGTCCTTTGTGAAGAAACCAGAGCCTATGTTCAGCCTGGTTCATGTAGGACATACCAATATTGCTGTACTTTAGGTAAATCTATTCAAGTCATTTTAGAAGCTCATGAAGATAAGATTGTATGTCAGGGAAAATCTAATTTCATGAGTTTAGATTAATTTCTTTCAGATTGGAAAGGCACCTTAGATATGCCATTATTCTCACCCTTTGTCATGGGGCATCACTCAGCTGCAGGGATCATACGAGCATCTTTTACCTAATCCAGTCTCTGCCACTGCAGGAGCCACAGCTGTTCTCCTCAATCACTCACAATCTCTGCTCACAGGGCTCGGTTTCATTTCTGATAACTTAAAATAACTGACCAAAGTAAAATTTGGAGTAAAGTAAGGTACTGGGATGAAAGGTAATGCCCTGCGACAGACAGAAGGTGAGGTCTGATAGCTTTTATTTGTGTTCAAGATCTCCTGTTTGGGCTTTTGCTGGATTTCTGAGAAGAAATACGTGACAGAAGATACCTTTACACCTTCCAAAAGACCCCTTACCTGTGGCAAAGCACCTGAACTGTCCCTTTATGTACCAGCAAGAGATGCGTATCTACATCAGCCTGCAAGGAGAACGTCCTGGCAGAGTCTTGCTGTTGCTTATTTTTATGCTCCGCAGGGACAGTCTGCTGCCTCAGCCTCATCACTTGCTAATCAAGCAACAAACAGATGCTCCCGTCCTCCTCTGAATCACTTAACTCTTCACTGCCACAGCGTCAGTGGTTTCAAAGGCCACCAAATGCAACACCACCTTTCAGAGATCCAGAGCAATAGAATACATCATCTTGCCCAAAAGACCAGGAGATGGACCAGGATGTGCCACCCATGACAGAAAGACACAGGGCTTAGGAGGATAACTGCAAAAGCTTCTAATTACTTTGTAAGAGTTTCTCCATTTGTCATCTCAACTTCTGAGCAGGGACAAAATGCAGGCTGCTTCCCAAACACGTTGCATAGCACTGTACCTTTCTGCTTTCTTAGGATGTCCACTGAAAAGAGCAGAGAAGGGCATTCCCATGTGGTGAATCATGTGCTTTTATTTTCTCTGTCTCCTTCACAGGCTACCTGGGCACTTCTGGCTCTCGGCTGGATCTTTGTGCCTGTTTATATCGCAGCAGGAGTGGTCACCATGCCCGAGTACCTGCAGAAGAGATTTGGAGGGCAGAGGATACAAATCTACATGTCTGTACTGTCCCTCATTCTCTATATATTCACCAAGATATCCGTAAGTATTCAATTGAACACAACCCTTGTGTCCAGGGCAGGGGTAGGCCATCCTGGTACAACGCAAGACTGCTCAGAGATAACTCAGATGTCCTTGAAAGGACCAGCTCAGCTACCAGAAACAGTAGCAGTATGTGAGTGTGCTGCTTTGCTCAAGTAAATACCTGCCTCTGTATTGATCATGGAGACCTCCCCTAAGAGAGAGAGTCCTCATTAAACAGCAGTGCACAGTGAGAACTTTACAGGGATATGGCAGCTAATTACTAAACAGTATAAGTACCACAGGCTGTCTGCCTGCTTTTCCTCTTCTATCAGATCAAACCTTAGACAGGGCAACTGCAGCATTACCCCACCTGAGGATCTGGCTGGCTGCATCCTGTAGATGTGAAATTCTCTTAAATTATCATAAATCTGCTGTTGTTTTTGTAGCTGAGTTTTCAGCATTAGGTATGCTATGGTTATTCCTCTCTCTTTCTGCCACTTATATGGGGAAAGGGAGGTAGGTTCTGACTTAAGACAAAACTCAGCATCCTTCCTGGAGTGCTTATAGCATTGTACCCTGCTGGTAGCCAAAAAGCCATGTAAGCTATTGTGTATTTTACTTCATTTAAATTCCATTCATAAAGGGGAAGAACTTACAGTCAGAGATTTGCTGAGAGCTACCTGTGCCCTTGGAGGGAGAAGACTGTATTTAGGAGTCTGTTACAGGAAGTCAAATTCTCAGTCCTTTGTCTCCAGCTGATTGTCCCATGACCCGTCCACGTCAGTTTTCACTAGGCCCTGTTGGAGTATTTAGATGTCAAATTGCTTTGGATGACATTGACTGGAGATGAGGCACCCATGTGCCTTTGGCAGCTGGCTTCTGGGTCCTTCTCCCGGGCTTATTATCTCTCAGGTCCTGGGAGGTCTGTCAAGAGGAGCTCCAGGCTGGGAGTATGGGATAGATTTCCTCCTCTAACGGCCAGGTCATGTCACCCATTGCTGCCACTGCTGTCTCCAGCATTGAAGCATTTCCCATGGTGAGGTCTGGCAAAGAGGCATTTGAAGCAGAACTGGGCACATGAGGGGTAAATGGAAGATGTGTCCTGCAACAGCACCACAATGTGCACAGCTGCACCGTCAACGTACGTGGTGAAAACACACCAGTCTTTCAAAATGACCTTCAGCAGAGCAGTATTTGCCAATACCTTTCAGCGCAGGACCCTGGCCTCAGTCATTGCTGTTTCATCTCAGTGGTTTCTCCTCTGTGCAGCTAATTCACGCGTGGCTGACGGATGTGGCTGGTGGAGTTTATGGGCATGACAGGTGCTTTCTATTAAGCAGTGCTATTGTTTGTGGAGAGCTCATTTAGCGGCTGGCTGGACAGCAGGCAGTTGGTTACAAGAAGGATGTTTCCCCCTGTTGCTTTTTTTTGCCCAAACATAGGTTAGCAACTAGGGCGTTGCAGAGTCTTCCCTACTTGCAGAGAAAAGCAGAGATCTTGGTAAATAGTGTTGTCAAAGGATTGATCCTGCGTGGCTACAGAGGTGTGTGTATTTCCTGCTGGGAAGTGAAAAACCAGAAGACACAGTGAGCGGCTCCTGTGGTGTCCTGACAGTGGTTGTCCTGTCTCAGGGTTTCGGAGGTCAGAAGTCACACTGGGTGCTTGCTTTTAAGGTGCTTGTTTCAGGCACAGCAAACAGAAATCTTGCCCCATCCCTTCTGTCGCCCTTGGCAAATGTTTTTACCTGTATCTCAAGCACGGCCAGATTCACAGGAGTCCTTCAGGTTGATTTCCCAACATACATATCTTCCATATCATCTTCTCTATCTGAGAGATGTTATCTGTATAATTCCAGGTTTCAGCTAGTTTCTGGTTTCACCCTCTCTGCCAGTAGGTCCAAACAAAACAAAGCCGATGGGGGTTTCTGTATTTCTAGTGAGGTCTTCAGCAGGTATAACCTGTTTTTCTGGAGTTTTCTGGACAGAAAAGCAAGATGTTGACCTTTCCAGATAAATAATCACACAAGAAGTCAGTGATTCTTTAGGGGTCTTTCAAGCCGGAGTGTCTCCTGGTCATGAGGCCAGCAAGATGTAGTCTTGGGTAGAACCTGGTCTCTGCTATTTGTCCCCTCTTTCCCTCCTGTGTCTACCTGTGGATACTCGGGCTCCTGCTCACCACAGGTGTCTTCAGAGTCAGCAAAAGGAGTGGCAGTTTCCACCAATACCTTTCTGTGCCAGTGAGGATTACGTGCCATGAAAGCTGCCTGTAAAATAGTCTTTTGGTTGCTTTGTAGTCCCTTGATTTTCATCCTCCTGCTGCCCCTGTTCCCAGATGCTGAGAGCTCTGACCTGGAGGAAAGGTTTTCCTTATACCAAGAACAAGAAGTTTCGCAGCCAACAGCCCCATGCTGTCTCCTCCTCTTCCACTTCACCTTCGTGGTGTCCTCCCTCGTCAATGCTTTCAGCCGCAGAGGGCTGCAGGCTGCTTTATTAGATTTCACTTGCACGAAGCACTACTAACGCCAGACTGCCCTTGATGTTCTTTATTGCAGACAGACATTTTTTCTGGAGCGTTGTTCATCCAAATCTCTTTGGGCTGGAACCTCTACTTGTCCACTGTGGTCTTGCTAGCAGTGACTGCTGTCTACACCATAGCTGGTAAATAGCTGATTTTTAAAAGAAACATTATAAACTGGAGCCTAGGATAGAAATTCCCCCTTTTCTACATCAGACAAAGCGTTCAGGTCCTGGTCTGAGGGAGAGATGCCCCTGGTTGCTGGTAGTACCTTCCCTGTCACTCCCAGCTGTTGGAGACCTCTGGCTATTCCCCTCTCCCCTCCTGGCCCAAGGGAAACTGGTATGGGGGAACATCACTGTTTTCTAGAGAATTCTCTGATATTCCAAAAGGCTCACATTTTCCTCTGTGCAGACAGCTACCACTGTCCATATTTGCTCTGTTTTTTTCTCTTTTGTAACATTAGCATCTTTAGATATTAAGATGTTGAGCTGCCTCAAAGTCCTCTTATGAATGTGGACAAACCCCTCAGGCCATTCCTCATGGGAGGACTTGTGACAGCTATAGGGTCCTGGTAACCAGACCAGTGCCAGCTTCTCCCAGTGGGTCTGTCCTGAAATCAAAGGGCTGGGGCCAAGGAAAACCTTTCTCCAGGTGAGGTACCTGTTTCACTGTACCTGGTGATTCATTCCGCCTGTTTTCTCTCGTTCTCCTGACAGGTGGTCTAACGGCTGTGATATACACAGACGCGCTGCAGACCCTGATCATGGTGCTGGGAGCTTTGGTCCTCATGTTTATAGGTAAGGGGAGTCTGCAGTGGTGTCATACACTAATTTAATGATCTCAAGGCCATCAGACCTTAGTAGGGTACCTCACGCTTTCATGTATGGTGCAGAAATGAGTTTTAACCACCCACAGAAGTGGTACCAGCACAACTCTCATTCACCAAAAAGTCATACTTGCATCATCCTTTGCACTAACTGTATGGAGGTGAGCTTCTGGATAACTTCACCTTGCTGGTCTGGGTTTACCTGGAGTTGCCACAGAGCTTGAAACGCTGTATCCCTAGAGTCAAATTCAGCTCTCACTGTGCTCACTTATATTCAGAGTAATTCTGCTGACTTTCCCTGTTGACTTTGGGAGTTACTGTGGATTCATCTGGGCGTAACTAAGCATTATAAAAAAAAAAAAAAAGCAACAAGGAACTGACAATCATTAGTCTTTGCTTTAAGCCTTCTTGGCAAACAGAATAGACATATATCTTGTTTTATGTTATACCTTCCTGCTCTAGCTCTTGGAGGGTGCGTGAACAAAGTCTATATGCTGAGGACATTTTGTGGATTAGGATCATGGAGGTTTTCCTGCATTGATCCCCTTCCAGGATGCACTATTAAAACCACAACTGACTCCTGTAAAGCGAGGGTGGAAGGAAAAGAAAGGAGATGAGAGGTAGATAGGAGAAAAAAAACAGTAATCATGAAACTCAGATAAGGAAATAACTTTTCAGAGACGACCAGACCCTAAATCACTGGCATTTTCTTTTCAGGATTTGAAAAAGTTGGCTGGTATGAAGGACTACAGGAGAAATACAACACAGCAATACCGAAGATCATAGTCCCAAATACAACCTGTCACCTCCCACGTGCAGATGCCTTTCATTTGTTCAGGGATCCAGTCACAGGAGACATTCCTTGGCCTGGCCTTATATTCGGCCTCTCCGTTCTGGCTCTTTGGTGCTGGTGCACTGATCAGGTAAAGAAAGTCTTTCCTTCTCCAGTCAAACCACCACACTGTTATTTCCAGTCCACTTCTCAGTTTGTCGATCTGTGAGCTGAAACATGTCTGTGTCTCACTGTATGGGAGTTACTACCTTTTTCCTGGTCTAGACCAGAATATCTCACTCCTTCCACCTTCTCAGCAAGCTGCTAATTTTGTGCACTTAGTGCAGAGAGAGCAGGTTATTTTCTTCCATCTTTATCTCAATGTGGCCTGGAGAGTACTGGGTGTCTTCATGCAGTTAGCATGACCAGGATATGAAAATGTGGATCTGGAGCTGGCTCTGCAGTGACCTTGTGTAGACCTCCAGACAAACCATTCATATTCCTGGAGATCTCACCTTTCTTATGCCTTTCCAAGCTAGAAACAAGGAAAAAATGTATTGTTTTCTCAAGGCTTGCTGCTTTTGTGCTTTAAGATGGGGTAATTATGAAAATTATGTATCCCACAGCTGAACTTCTACCAAAGCACCTTCAGTCTGCTTCATTCCTCATCTCTTGCTGCCATACAGCTGCTGTCTCCAGTCCTCAAGGTGGCTTCATTTCAGTGAAGGGCGAAATGATTCCTGTAAAGGAAATTTCCACGCTGCCCTCTCCTATAGCCCGTGCACTGAGCTCTGAGCAGTGGCAGCAGGCTGCAGTCAACCGAGATGGGAAAGTTGCCATTGGCATGCAAAACACCCTGGGATTCTGCTGGATGAAAGTCATCCATGAGAACGAGAGACAGAGAGAGAGGATGGATCCTGCTCTCTCTGTAGGACTTCTTTTTTACTCTCTGCTCCCTTTCTGCACTGATTGCAGGTGATAGTCCAGAGGTCTCTCTCTGCTAAGAACCTCTCCCATGCCAAAGGTGGATCAGTGCTGGGAGGATATCTGAAAATCTTCCCTATGTTTTTCATTGTCATGCCAGGAATGATCAGCAGAGCTCTTTACCCAGGTAAGCCTTTCCATGTTCCTTGCCACATGGCCTTATACTTGCAATGACCACTAACCCTACACAGGTCTGCCAGCACTGTTACACCTCAGAAACTGCTGTTCTGCAGGCATAGTCATATAGATTCCTGTTGTAAAATGGTGTTCCTGTGTCCTTTCGTCACCTCCAGTGCTCCCACAGTGGCAGAAGTCACTGGGAGTATCCATATGGAGCTTACGTTGTCATTGGGGTCATATAGCTTCATGCTGTGCACACTGCCTGCGTCTGTCTATCTGGAGGAAACCAGTGAGATGAAATACATGAAGCACTGAGGTTGTCATTCAGGTCCTATGGATTACTTTCATTAGGTATTTGGTGAGAGTTTTGGCAATCTACCACACAGATTCATGCACTTCCTGGTGGATTGTGCAAATCAGCCCTCCTTTGTGAAAAATTAAGTAAGTGCTCTCTTCCTGTTCTCTCCCAAGGAATTCTCATTACTGGTTTCTCCAGAGCGTGCCATTTCCCAGTTAGGAGGACCACTCCTGGAAGAAAGCATGTCTCAAGTGCCTCTTTCCCAGATTCTTCAAATAGGAGTAACTCAGCCTGCAACACCCTTGGTAACCCTGCTGACAGGTTCATGGAAACAGTCCAGTTCCCACAAACAACTAATCATCAAGGATTACAATCATGCAACATCCAGGAGAGTTGTATCTGTAGCCTGAACATAATTGCAAAATGTCATCTCCAAGTTTCACCTTTATTTTACAATGTAAAATGTTTTCCAGCTCCTCTCATTCTAGCTGTATTGCAGCTGCACCTCCGAATTTACATGAACCTGCACAAGGCATCAAGATTTGTTCCCATGAATCAACAACTTATGGCCAGACAGGGTTTACACTGACTTCTTGTCATTTTCTTGTCTCTTACAGATGAAGTGGGCTGCGTGGACCCAGACATCTGCAAAAGGGTCTGTGGAGCTGCAGTGGGTTGTTCCAACATTGCCTACCCCAAACTCGTGATAGAACTCATGCCGGATGGTGAGAAACTTTTACACTTGGAGGTGGGCTTGAGCCACGTTATGCACAGGGGGATCATACTGCTCTTATCTGTCCTAAGGATGAGGAAATCTTACTGCACTTATCAGACATGGGGATGAAAAAACAGTGCTGAGAGGCCAAAGGTCTAGTCCTGATTTTCCTTCCCTTTTTTGCCCCCCCAGGGCTCCGGGGTTTGATGATTGCTGTGATGATGGCAGCCTTGATGAGTTCCCTCACCTCTATTTTCAACAGCAGCAGCACTCTCTTCGTTATAGACATCTGGCAGCGGATCCGCAGAAAGGCTTCAGAGCAGGAGCTGATGATTGTGGGCAGGTCCTTACATTTCTTTATGTCTCGTTGTTCTCATCATCTGTTTTGAGTGCAGCATTTACATTCTTCGTCCGGACTCACTGAGAAAAATCTGGGGCCTAAAATATAGAACAGGAACACAGCCTGGGAAAGAGCATTAAATTTTCCAGCTTCACCTGCTCAAAGAGAAACACTGAGAGTACCAGTGAGCTTGGTAGATCATTGCCTCTCTCTTCTCTAAATTTAACATAAATACTGCCTTAAATGTAACTTTTAGAAAAGGCAAAGGCGCTCTGGAGTTACTGTCTCCAGAGGTCTTTAAGAAAATGTTATTTTTGCTTGAGACAGGAGTGATGCATGGCAATTACTCCTTTTTTTCATGGAAAAGTGCATGGGCCTCCCAGTTCTCTGTCTCTGTGGTAAGTCATAATGCCCTTTGCAAGCAAGCTTTGGTACTGCATTACAGCATGGGCATATAAAGTTCTCCTCCTGGTATTGGAATTTAATCTGCATTCTGCATGTTTGTGGTGCTTTTCCTCTCAAGTCATGGGCATTAAGTTCTAAACTTTGCTGTGGGATGGTTGAAAGCTGCAGGCAATCTCATGGAACCACTGTGGAGTAGTGAGAGGAGAAGTACCTCTTGTTCAGCAATATAGAGAAACCTCTTTAACACACAATGCAATGACAAAGGAGGCTATGGTATACACCTAAGATCCCAGAAGCAATTTTAGTAAGCAGCAAATGAGTTGGAATTTGGCAAAGGAACTAGAATGAGCCTTTTATCTGCTTGGAAAGGTGGCAGAAAGATTGCTTACGCACACTACCAACTCCCTCTCTGTTGCATCCAAGGGCTAGTCCTTTGAAGAACATGTCACTCTCCAGGACACACCAGATTGAAGGGCTTGTACTGACAGAGTTTGTGGTGTGAACCACCATGCCCTTGTGGCTCTCTCATGGCTTTTGGCTGGCAAGTTCTAGCTCAGCTCACTCCGAAATCTGTGAAGCCAGCTTTGGGAACTGGTTGAACTGACTTTCTAGAAAAGAACAATTTTCTCCTTTCCTGTGTACACTGTCTCTTTGAGAGTGATCTGTGGATTTTTTCTTAGGAAATTCTGAGAGCAATTGGAAGCGTGTTTTTCTGCAAAACTTCATTTTCAGGTGGACTTCACCACCTGCAGAGCTAATACAATTTTACTCTCATCTTCCAGAGTCTTTATCCTCATCCTCGTAGTCATCAGTATTCTCTGGATCCCGATCATTCAATCGGCCAACAGCGGCAAGCTCTTTGACTACATTCAGTCCATAACCAGCTATCTAGCCCCGCCGATCACAGCTCTCTTCATCTTGGCAATCTTCTGCAAGAGGATTAATGAGCCTGTAAGTGGAGTGTCAACAACCAATTGATATACGTATTTAATTTGATAAAATAAATGCATAACTCTCCCCTCAGTACCTAGCCTTTGAGACACTTTAAAGTCAAAACCAGTCCAGCCAAAGTGTGGCAATTCCCTGGCATGTATTAGTGGATCTTAGCCCAGTCTCCAGTGCAGGTGTGTTTGCTTCCAAGAAGCCTCTGCAAGTGGTACTTCTTGGCAGTCTCATTTGAAAGCACGAAAGGCAAAGTTGTTCTGCACTTTAGGGATGCTGTGTCAAAGCCTAGTTGGAGGCATGTTGCTAGGAAGAGACTCTTGCACTGTTTGTGCTCTATCTTTTCCATGTTCAAGGGCAGAAAGAGGAAAAATAAGGATTTTTAACTGAAAACATCCTCCTTTGATGCCTATCAGTGTGGGTTTCCATCAGGCATACAAGGCCCTGGTTTAAGAAAGAGCAGAAATGAGCAGAAAAAAAGCAGAAAATCAAAAAGCAAAAAAAAGAAAAGAGAAAACTTTACCAAAGGTAACATGCAGTGACCTTTTCTTTATGCTTGCCTTTTCTCAGGGTGCTTTCTGGGGCCTTGTGGTTGGGCTGGCTGTTGGTCTCGTTCGGATGATCATTGAGTTTATTTATAGCACACCGTCTTGTGGTGAGGAGGACAGAAGACCAGCTGTGCTAAAGGACTTGCACTACCTCTACTTTGCCCTCATCCTCTGTGTCCTCACTGCGATTGTCATTGTCCTTATTAGTCTCTGCACCCCACCGATCCCTGAAGAAAAGGTAAGTGACTTGCAGTGGCACCCTTTTCTCAGAGCCCCCGTTTGGTTTCCAAAAAATCTCTGAAATCTGTCCTTTTCTTTTCCTCCCATGGTTAGGAAATGGTGCGTAATACATCTGCTGCAAAGAAGCCCTTGCTCCTCAGCTTTCTATTCCCCAGGTCACACAGTGTTAATGCTTCCTGAGGTACTGAGTGCTTCAAATTGAGTGTGAGTTCCCATGCTGTGCCTAGAGCTGGGCAGACACCACAGCCCATCCTAACTGGAACAGAAAGAAAAGACGAAGGGGAAGGAGATGAAATCATATTACAGAGCACTGCTGAGGAGGAATTAAATATATCTAATTGTGGCATCTCCCCTGTTTCAGCAGAGCCAGCATCAATCTTGCAGGCAAACAAGATTAATATCTTTTGCAACATGGGCATTTAGGAGAATAACATTTTGTCCCAATGTGATCTCAATTACATTTAATAACTTTGATTCAGGCACAACTTTCTTTTACTTAACACATTAAAATGGTGCAGTTGGGAGGCTTTCTATAATAAAACCTTAAAGCAACTCTTCCCAGTCCCAAGTTTTAAAGCAGCTGTCAATAGAAAAAAAGCTGCCATCTACCTCCAAACAAAGGTTACCGGATAGATTTAAAAGACCTATTTTTTCCCTGTCTAACCGCATGAGGAAATGAGGGGTGATGCCATCATAGCATTTTCTATCTGTTGCTTCCTCGTAACTTGTAAAGCATTAACCAGTTCCATCAATGTTTGATTGAATGTTAGTGGTGTCAAAGATACCCAGCTCCTAAAGATTAAATGAAAGCAGGTGCTCAGATAGAGGAAAGGGGGAGGGAGAGAGTCTGTCTTTGTGTCTGCTTTGAGATAAAGTCTCAGCTTTTATTAGCTATCAGAGGATCCACATGGGAGAAAGAAATACTGGCAAGGAGGCACCATTAGTTCTGCTGCTTACGTTGTTCACTACTGCTCAGGGGTGGCCAGATGGTTGCCAGCAATTAATTACTGTGGTTTAATGAGTTCCCACTCATCATCTGACCTGTGATAACTAAACATGTGCAGTGCTCCCTGCCCACAGCAATAGCAAGACAAGATGCATTAACGCAGCACTGGCAAATGGTGACCATCATACCAACAGTTCAGGAAATGAAGAAACTGGCCACAGCGCACTTACTGGCTTTTTATTCTGACCCCAGAGGTATAAAAAACATTTAAAGCATGTTTTAAGGGTGGGGGCTGAGGGTGAGTTCAGGATGAAGGTCTGTTATAATAGCATCAGGGAAAGAGAGCTTATAATGACAAGAGATGCCTTAGAGGAAATTTTCTGTAGGAATAGGTGAGTTTATAGATGCATGACTTAAGAGACCTTATTTGACATATTTTTCAAAGAGCCAAAGCTCAGAAAAGGTGGATTCAGGCTGGAAGTATTCCAGGGAAGAATGCCAATGGGATGGTCAGGAAGGATAGAATTTTGTCTGAAACAGCTGTGTGCAGTTATCCTAAAAGAACAAAGGAGGAAGGGTGGTGACTGGTCCCCCCAGGTACATCTGGAGACCCAGGGAGGGAGGAGAGCTTGCTAAAGGGCTGTCTGTGAAAAAACATAGGCTGGGCTTTTTTTTAGGAAGTTTTCTAAAGAGGGATGTTCAGGATAACCTTTGGGTAGGCTGTGGACCCCACATAGTGCTGAGCTCAGGACTTGACGTCTGTATAAGAGATTCTGTTGAAGAAAATTAATAATAATTAATGATATTGCCTGTGGCAGTGAGAGGCTGGACACAGAGACCTCTTGATGGTTATGACCATTCGTGTCCCATGCATCCTCTCAGCCTCAGTTTCTTCCCACCACAAGGAAAATGCGATGGGCTGCCAGGCAATTTTATGCCAGTAAGTGGTAGCTAATTCCCTCTCTCCATAGCTCGGTAGGAATGTGAGAGTCTGCCCCTCTTTGGTTGTAGCCTGATTTCCATTCAGTTTCTGACCTGGTTCCTCAGAGAACAGCCAAAGTGAAGGCATGGGGTTTAAGCTGTGGTAGATGCCATCATTGCTGGGTTGCTGCCTGTCTGGCATGAATCTGAGTGGGCAGTGTTAAACCTAACGTTTTTCATTTTCTCTAAGACTCGCCCCTATTTTTGGCCTGGACATGAGCGGATGTGTAGTTTTGGACTATCACTCCTGGTGGCATGGTTTCTTATGGTGTCCTGCAAGCATGGCTTTTCTTCTCATCCCAAGTTCGTCTGTGGCTGTGTTGAGATGGCTCAAAGACAGAAGGGTTTTGGGAAGGAAGGGCAGGAGGCAGAAATCAGGATAGACATGTCAGGCTCTAACCCTCTGGGTAGAAACTAGCACCTGAACTTTGTGTTTGGCCACTAATGTTCTCAGGTTGCTGGGTTTTGGGATGCAAGTGGGCAAACCTGTGTTGAAGAGCCTGTATGTTGCCCATGATAGTGGCTGGGAGGGAAAGGCTGGTAGTGGGTGTTCTGGCTGAGGGTATCTGAAGCTCTGCTGCTTCCCAGTCCCATATGTTGGTCAATTCACTTTATGAGCCTCAGATATTGCCCCCATAAAAATCGCATGGAGCTAGTTCTGCAAGCCCTTATCTGTGCAGCACTTTGAGATGTAATGATAAAAGACACCGTATAAGAGCTAGGAATTACACCATTTATTTTGTCAAGGAAAAGAAAAAGAAAAACAAGCCAACAAAGAAAAAGCCAAAGAATTGTAACGATTCATCATACTTCAGCAGATGTAAATCAGCATAGCTCCACTGCCTTCAAAGATCAGCAACAGCTGTTGAGCACAGTTATGCTGCTTTACACCAGCTGAGGATCTACACTGGACAACTTTAAATATTGAATCTCAATGCTTTTCAGATAGTAAATGTGCAAAAGGAGAAAAGAGATTTGTATCTGAAGTTAGAATGGTACAGCTAATGTGCCCGACTTTAAATGAATTACAATCCAAGAACTGCAAGCTGTAGCATTTTCTCCTGCTGTTTTGGACACTCTCCCATCCCTGTGGTGATTGATGCTGTGCTGGAAAACAAGTATGCAAGGAATTTGTTTGGTATGCTCCAGAGTTCATATGTCTTCATTGTAGGTAGTCCATATTGTGTCACGCCGTCCTTGAAAACCCTGCAAAAGAGCTTACAATTAAATTTGAGACTGTGAAGCTGAAACACAACTGTCAGGTGCCAGATGGCATTTTGGAACAGAAGGATTTATTCTAGTTTACAATCAACAAAAGAAAAACTTTGCTGAGTTCTTGCAAACTCCCTTGCCCAAGGAGAATGTGAGGATGAAAAAGGAGAGGAACAGCTCACAAAGCATGAATGCCACATGAACAGGTCACCTCCCCAGGGGTCAGGGCTCACCTAGACAGGCTGATAGATTGGCAATTCCACCTGGTGTACTCTGGGGTCAGGGATGTTTTCCTTGTGTCCTGAGATCTGGATTCAGTGGCTTCTTTAGGTGCATAGCCTATGAGGAGCACCCAGTGCGTTTTGGCTGGTCTGAACCAACACTGTGCACTCTGAAGTGCTGCAACTGAAGCTCCCACAGCATCATCTACTGCCACTTAAGAGCAAAACATGCTCAGCTCCTAGGGGAACCAGACGCTCATAGAGGAGCAAACTGGGGTGAGGACACAGGGCTCCCTGAGCAGCACTCACACATGGATCTGCAGTGGGTAGTGGAACTGCAAAGCTCCCTGGGACCCACCAAGAGGCTAATATCATCCCCCCTGCAGTCCCTCCAGTCCTTGGACATGGTGGCCTCAGGCAGCATTTCCAAGGTCCAATTATGCTCATGCAGCTTCCCTGTCAGCAGTTCTCTATATTTATGTATTTGCTTGCTTTCTCTGGGCATGCAAAACACCTGCCATTATCTGCCTCCCCTATCCCCCATCCCTTTCTTAAGCGTCTACCAGGGAAGTTTAGCCAGTCCCATGGTGTCCTCCATGGTCACACAACGCTGCTGGTCTGCCCCAGCACATGTCTTTCTGCCAATGGCAAAGAGGAGAAAGGGAGACCTTGAGGAAATCAGACAGCCAAAACCCACCACAGGTAAGCTTGAAGCTGGAATGTGGGTGTGAGACTTCACCAAGAAGCCCTCTAGGGTGGTGGTTTGCTTTATTGAACAGGTTGGCCGTGGTCAAAGCACCAGCTCCAGGGTGGTTTGGTGGGATGATAGGTGGTGAGGTTGCCTGTGTGTCTATGCTGCTTTCAACTGGGAATCACTCCCATCTGGCAGCATCTGAGCCCCGGGTAAGCTCCAGCCCTGGTGGATTTTGCTGCAATGTGAAGACAGTCATTCAGTGATAAAAGGAAAAATGAGGGGAAAGAGAAAAAGTTTCAGAAATCCTTTAGTACCCTGAAACTTTGCTATGTTCCAGTGACATTTCCTAAGTGATTAAAAAAAAAAAAAAAAAAAATCCTTGAGAAAGATGAGGATCATCAAATCAAAGCAATTTAGCACATCGTGACAAGAAAGATTAGCCCTGCCCAGTGCTCATCTTGGTTGAAAATGATTTAAATAAAGCTATAAATCTTCTGGAAATTATGCAACATTTTGTGTCAGCTGGAAACTCCTGCCTAGATCTGTGCGTGTAAAATTCAAAAATTAAACTTACGTTACTTTGTAAGTGACCCGAGGCGTTCGTTTCCATGCAGGCAGGGCAGGGAGGCAGCCGCTCGTCAGGCAGATGTGTGACTTTGCCTGACCTGTTGTCACCGCTGCAGCCTCTTCGTCCCGGTCCCATCCTGCAGCTCCTCTGCAGGGCAGCCAACAGGCTGGAGTGAGAGGACAGTCCACGGAGCTGAGCAGCTGTACTTGAGTGGGATTGATGAGCGTGGTCCTTGCTGCCTGGATTGGCCAGAGCAGACGGAGATTAGGACATGCCAGTGCCACCAAGCTGCTTGGTGAGCCATGGTCAGCCAAAGAAAGAGCAGTCCTGGCTTAAATTCAAAGACCTGAGCCCCTGGGATAGTTAACCCTCCCCCTCACAGCTGCAAAAGGACCACTGTGAGGTTTGCAGGATTAATGGCCTCCAGGTGCTCCCAGTGTCCTAGGGAGGAGGTCTTCAGACTTGTCTGTCATGGTTTCAGCTGGGATGGAGTTAACTTTCTTGCTGGCAGCTGGTTGTGGGGTTATGTTTTGGATTGGGGATGAGAGCAGTGTTGACAGTGCACTGATGGTTTTGGTTGTTGCTAAGCAGTCAAGGCTTTTCTGGTCTTCATAACTCTCCACGGGTGAGTAAGCTGGGAGTGAGCAAGAAACTGGGAGGAGACACAGCCAGGACAGCTGGGATATTCCATATCATGTGATGTCATGCTCAGTATATAAAGCTGGAGGACATTTGGAGTTACGGCATTTGTCTTCCCAAGTACCATTATACCTGAGGGAGCCCTGCTCTCCTGGAGATAGCTGAACACCTGCCCGCCCATGGGAAGCAGTGAATGAATTCCTTGTTCTGCTTTGCTTGCGTGTGCGGTTTTTGCTCTACCTATTAAGCTGTCTTTAACTCAAGCCACGAGTTTTCTCACTTTTACTCTTCTGGATTCTCTTCCCCCATCCAGAAAGGGTTATCTTGGCTTCTTCTTTTTTTTTCTTTCTTTTTTTTTTTCCCCCTTTACTTTATTACCCTTCCCTGATGGAGGGCTGCCATTCTGGATACAGATCATTATTTCATGACAATCAAATGAGCCTAGCAAATAGGAAGCTACTTCTTCAGTGTCTACTAAAAGGTTACTCCTGGTAAAGACAGGGATAGGAGAGGTTAATTTAAAAAAATAGAATTAAAGAAACTAGACTGATTCACACTTTTTCCCAGCTTTTCAGCTCCAACTGGATGCTATCAGCCTTTTTTTTCCAGGGTATGGACACCTGTGCAGAAGGGAGGTGAGCAAAATGGGGTAACAGCCTTTGCGCAAGAGCAGGTCTCTCAGCACCATCTTGGATCTCTGTCCCCAAAAGAGGAAGGTGACTGGTGTGCCAGTTTGGGGCTCGCAGGCAATAACCCATTTTTTCTGTCCCACTTTGCAGCTCGCTTGCTTGACATGGTGGACAAGACACAGAAAAGCATCTGCCATTGATCTGAAAAATTTCAAGAGTGAAGAAGCACAGATCAATCCAGCCAACGGAGAGAGCGACTTGGTCGAAAGTGCGGATTTAGGCGATAAAGAGGAGACAGGTAGGGTGGTGGCCTGTGGACAAGTGTGCATGTGAGTGCATGGCCAATATCTCATGCAAGTCCCTCTAAAGCTCATGAGAGGCTACCTGTTGCATTCACAGGAGTTGGGGCTTATATTTACATGCATATGCGGGTTTGACAAAAGAACTTGTTGTGGTTCTTGGTCCTCCCAACGTATCTTCTAGCGTTTATCTTCATATCACAGTCATCTGAATGGCTCAGAAGAGCTGTCATTCCTGAAAAACAAAGAAAGCTTGCAATTCAGTAAAATGTTTTTATCTTTCCTCCCTAGAACAAGCTGTTTACTTGGGCAAACTGCCCCAGTTCGGCTCTGCCCAAGTCACAGTGTTATTTTAGCACCTCAAGTCTGGACACTTAATGGTGTGCTGGGCTGCTTAGGTGGGGGTCAACAGCCACTTACAAACAGGCCTTGGGAAGGTGGAGAACTGTGCTGCTGGGACACTGCTCCTTTCCCTGTTGACGGTGTGGTTTTGTGCTGTGACACTTGAGGAGCTCCACAGCATTACTGCAGGCACAACCAACACGGCAGCTACCACTAGTGCTATGAAAGTCACAGCAGGCTCTGTAATTTCATATTTCAGCACATAAAAGTAGCATCCCTCCCTGTCCTCATCATTGCTAGGAGATAAAACCCTTGTGTATGTGCCAGAGGTGCCTCCTCCTTCCCCCTGTGTGGGCTCTGCTGGCCAAACTCACTCAGTGATGCTGTAACATACTGTATCAAAATAGCATCACGGTCCAAAGGGACCATGAGACACTGGGCGCAGATGTGTGCATTTTATGGATGTCATAGGATAAATCTACAAGCCTCAGTTTTCTCATTTACATTATGCCAATAGTACCATCCATCTTCCCTCAGGATATAAGCCGTGGTTTAAACTCAGACCCAAATTGCTTAAATAGCTGTGTCTCCTACCAAGGGTATTTAATAGGAGGAAGGTAAAGAGTCAGATGAACTTAAAAAGCTGTCAGGAGGCAAAACAGTACGAGGAGTTGCTACATAGGCAAGTTCTTTTCAGAGTGGACAGAGGTTTATTCTGCAAATCCATTAAAAAATTTAGCTTTCCAGTTTTGAGCTTAACCTCCCACGGTTACAGAGCAGAAATCACAGAAGAAAGGCACATACACAAGATTTCTTCTCTCTTTCCTTTTGCTGGTCAGTCCAAAGGACGCTGGTACCAATTACAGGCAAACTAAAAAGGACTGAACAGCTAAAGAGATCCCTTAATATTTTTTTCCCAATAAAGTAAATTTGGGTTTTAGTTGAATCTAGCCATTCAGCATTAATTATTATTTCTTATCAATTCCTACTTAAGTAGCTCAGATTTTTATAAATAAATGTCTTGGTATTTTGGTAATTAGTAATGATGGGAAAGGAAATGTGAAACACAGCAGTTGACAGTTTAATGAGGTTTGGTTTTTGTTTTTTTTTGGTAACACCTTTTTCGAGGCCTTATGACATTCTGCATATCAAAAAAAGGTTATATTTGGAAAGAACAGCCAGTGAAATACACCCAGCACAGGGCTGACAATTAAAACACACACTTCACCTGGCATGTCATGGGCAATAAATGAGCCAGGATATCTTTAAATGGACCATCATGCTGTCAGGAATTTGTGAAAGTGGATGGAAGCTGGGTTGGGGAGGAGGAGGAAGAGGTCTGTTAATTAACTAATGAATGACTGGTGCTGCAATCAACCAACTATAATCAGGCCCAGCTGTACATGGTTGAGGCAGAACTTTCTCTTTTCACTTCCCATCTCCCACCATCATCTTGCACCTCCCATCTGAGGTGCACCTCAAGCTCCAGATTGGTCAATGCGCCTCCAAACAAGTGGAAGGAGGGAGGGAAGAATCCCAGGTAGATGATAACACTCATCTTTTGGTTTGTCTCTTGCAGCAGCCAAGCCTCCCTGCTGGAAGATGCTGTACTTGTGGTTCTGCGGTCTATCCACTGGCCCCACGCCCACCCTGTCCCAGGAGGAGAAAGCTGCCCTGGAGCGGAGACTCACCAGCATCGAGGAAAAGCCCCTGTGGAAGACTGTTTGCAACGTTAATGCTATTCTTCTGCTGACCATTAATGTCTTTCTGTGGGGATATTTTGGCTGAGGAGGGGTCAGGTCAGCATGTGGCTTTGGCTTCTCTCAGGAGTCCTCATCTTCATGTCTAAGAAAGAGGCATTGGGTGTCAGAGACCCCGGTGATGGTCCCCAGAGGCACCAGCAAGCCTTGGCACATCCCTTCCCTGGAGGCACTGCTTGCTGGAAATGACTGCGGGGCTCTGTTTCTCCATAAGATAAGGTTTGGCCAAGACTCAAAACTGATCACATCCAGAATGCAGGGGACTTGTGGGACAGCACTGGGGGTAGGAGACCTGGGGTCAATTTTAAAGGTGCAGAGCTGAGCCCAGAAAGGAGCAAAGATTTTGAAAAGCCCAGCTGTGGCTTGGCCAGCTCTTTGCTCCCCTCATGCACCAGCTTGGGGCTGACTTTGCATCACTGCTTTTAGGGAAAGGACTTCTGAAGGACTTCTGGTTTATGCTGGTGTGGGGAAGGAGATTTAAGCACTACCTGCACTTTTTTCATGTGGCCAAACTTCAGATGGGGTTAGTGTGGGACCACTGGATTAGCTCAGAAGTTACAACCTTGGGCCCCACAGCCACCCCAGGACCCGTGTTGGGCATCCCCCACCCCCTGTTGGCATCAGCAATGGGATCAGGGTCTTCCCTGCCCTCCCTGAAGCCCCCACCCTGCCCAGTCTGCCACGTGACTTAGAACAGCCTGAGCCTGTTTACTCATCGGGCTGATCCTGCCCCTTAACAGCATTACCAGCAATAAAGGTGCCTTAGTAACAAGCCAATTCCGACTTTGGGTTATTGTGGTTATATATCCTGCACTGACGCACAAAGGTCTCCCTGGGACCACGGTGACCTGGCTGTGGCAGGGAAAAGAAATAGCCCTCCTTGGGCCAGGTTCAAGGCTGGACCTTACCTTCTTGAGGAACTCCGGGCTACCCTGACCCATGTTGGTACTATCATGTAATGTGGCACGGCCACAACCTTTTAAACCACCTCCAGAGGCAGAGACGGCAGTACCCACTGTTAATATCTTTGTCTGGTGGTTAGGATGCTCACCTGGAAAAGGCTAAAAATGCCCATGGGGACGTGACCCTCCACTCCAGCATCCAAGGGGCATGTCCAAGCTGCCAGGCATGGGCTGTGCGAGGAGCTGAGGGCATGTGGTGAAGCACAAAGCCATAAAAATGAAGAAAATAAGTCATGATCCAGCAAGGAGAGAAGAAACAAGGCTCTGTGCCCACCTGTCACAAGGAGCCCAAGTCATGGTTCTCCTACTCATCCTCAGTTTGAATGGAGGAGACTGAATCAGCTGTACAGGATGTGTCCTGTGCTGTGCTGATGCAGATCAATACCAGCATTTGTTTTTAATAAGAAGAAAAAGTAGATTTCCTTTGAATAAGGGAGGTCTCAGCCCCATCAGTTGCCCGTCCATCCCCGTGGGAAGCAGCATACAAACCAGAGCTTCCCTTGCCTTTCCACTATTCAATTTTGAGCAGGTGGTGCCCAGATCAGAGGGTGCCTCAAAACATTTAGAGGAAATCAAGTTACCAGCTGTGATTAATAGCTGGTAAATATCTAATAATAACAGACACATTTCTAATGCATTTAGAAATACCAGGGCTCTGGCTTAGAGCAGCGAGGTGCTGAGTGCTCCAGAGCCACAGAGCCCCTCAGCAGCACTCAGCTCAATGGCTTTATTGGCGTTTTTGGACCACACATCCGCTAAAACCATGGGGAAAGCAACGAGAAGCAGGATGAGAAATACTTGGGCAGTTTTTTAAACTTTTGAGATCATTCTCTTCCCCTAAGAAAATTTGCAGAGAATAGAAGTGGAATTTACTAAGCCTTTTTTTTTTAATGACACAAGTTCTGATTTTTGGCTACTTGATGCTAACCTCTTCCCGTCCCCGTCTCACCCCATGGATCCTGGAAGATGATGTTTCCTTTAAAACGGTGATGCCTATCCCAGTTATACAAAGTAATGTGCTTTGAGAGACGTGACTGCATCTCTGAGCTTGGCCCACAGAAGGAATGGAGACGTCTGCACTGCCAGATGTGCGCCCCACAGGAGAAACACATTTCAGTGGTAAATTTATTTGACTTACTACTCTATTTTGAACCACTAAAGTTAAATAAAAGGAAACAGAATCACTGGGGAGGGGGAGTCTGAAATGTTTTATTGAAATAAACAAGGGTTGTCTCAAAACATCTTGACCTTTCCTTGTATTTTCTAGGGAAATACCATCTTTAGCTGAAAAAAATTAAAATCAAATCAAAAAGAGATTGCATTTTTCCTCCTGGTTGAAGACTGGGGATGGGGGAAAGTTTCCTTTTCATATTATTTCTCATTTCAGCCCCTCGTCTCCTTCCTTCTCATCTCCCACACCCACTCCCTCTGCCTACACCCACACACAGCTCTTCCCCTCGGCATCTCCCAGCCCTTCCTTCCCAGCCTTGATAATTCCCAATTTATGCTGCATCTCCCCATGGGTCCCACCTGAACACACAGAGTCCCTCCAGTCCCTGCGCCAACTTACCTCCCTGCAACAAGCAGGACCCTGCTCACCCTGGCAGCTCCTCATCAGCCTTGGCCCCACACACCAAGGATCTGTGGGGCCAAGACAAAGATGGGATGGGATGGAATGGTTCTTTACTACCTGTTGCTGCGGGTGAGATGCTGTGACAGAGCAGCTCTGCACTCTCAGGAGCCCTCTGGAGTTTTTCAGAGGGAAACCCCAACAGAGGCTCTGCAGGTGGAGTGATTATAAATCCAAATTATCCTAACGGGGATAACCAAGGCTGAAAACCCAAGGCCCATGACAGTCTCAGGCAGCACCTGTGAAGAGCTTTATCTTCTCGCACATTGTGTATCCAGTGAATTTCACTGAATTTCACTGAATTTTTAGAGTTGGAAGAGACCATAGAGATCATCTAGTCCAACTCCCCTGCTGAAGCAGGATTGCCTAGAGCTTGTCAGAGCATGTTACTCAGGACTGCATCCAGGTGGGTCTTGAAAATCTCCAAAGGGGACTCCACAACCTCCCTGGGCAGCCTGTTCCAGGGCTCTGGCACCCTCACCGTGAAGTGGGTGGTGCTTTCTAAAGCTGTGTCAGTTGAAGACGTACAACTGCTTAAATACCTGTGGCAGGCTTTGGAGGAACCTTTTTAGAGATACGTGAGCTGGGACAGGCGCAGACCCTGAGCCAGAGCGTACGTCAAACCCCAGGTGGTGCAGCCCGACCTGCTCCGTGCCGGGAGCAGCTTCTCCACCAGCCTTGCTCAGCCCAGAGCTCCTGAGGGAACGGGGATTAGCTCCCAATCCAGCCAGCCCCATCCCCAAAAGCAAGGAATGGAGTCTGGCAGAGCGTTTTAGCAGCGAGCTGGGAGAATGCACGTGGGGAGCCGGAGCCCGGCCACCGTGGGGCTGCGGCGATGACAGGCCTGGCCGCCGGCGGAGGCGAGGGCCTGCGGTGCAGCCATGGTGCTGGGCTCCCCACCAGCCTTTCCTGGGGAGCAGCCTGTCATCACCCCCCGGCCCCGCTCCTCACGGCGCCTGATGAATTGCAATATCCTAACAGGAACGCACCGCCTTCCGAGCTGCAACCCGTATACGAGTCCATTGGCAGCAGATGTTATTAATGATGCCAATACATATTTTCTTATTAATCTTCCATACTAGGCTTGTGTCTATCTGCAAATGATTATCATTCATTTTCCTGACAAATCTATCAAGATCATTTATTACTGTTCGGCAAAGGATCTTCTTTTAAAACAAAGATTAATAACATTGCATTTTATCTGGCTGGCTGAGCCAAAGGAAATGAAATTAACAATGAACCCTACAAACATGTCATCACTTTAATTTACTGGAAAATATTTTAAAATGTTATTTAAAAGAATATATGCTATGGTGGGCACAGTTTATTACAAAGAAATGAAACCACATGCGTGTTAGCTGGGTGGAGAGTAAGTTAGCAAACAGGGAAGCGTGTTTTCTCTGGTTCCTTGAGCTTGTTTTCTGGGAGAAGGAGGGAGCGGCACCCACAGCCTTCTTGGTGTGCACAGAAGGACACCTGCCCAGCTGAATTGTACCTGGAACTCACCGTTTCTGGGTTAAAGCAGATCTTACCTGGGATCAGAAGCTCTCATCCCTGCAAGGAGCACTGCCCTCTCTGCATTCCTATGGAGGGTAAACCTTCACCAGGGTAAAGCTCGTGGAGACCCGAGGGAGAGGAGGCCACACATCCCAGCACCCTTCTGCGTTATTAGGCCCTAAAATCAAAAGAAACAAACGCAGTAAATTTACATGGGTTAGTTTCCTCTCTTCTGCACTCTCTTCTTACTTTCCTTTCGCGTCATTTGAGTAAAATATTACTAAACAATAAATATACACCAAACAACATATCAGAATCTCCTCCTTTTACTGCAAATAGAATGAAAAAAAAATAATACCAGATTTGCCTTTGCATTGCTTTGTTTATACGTGTGAACTTATATTTCTAACCCCGTTCTTGCCCAGGTACCCACTGCTGTGTCTCCGCAGGAGCTTCCCCACATGCCTGGCTCCCAGCTGTGACATCTCCAGCAGTGGGAATCCCACCACCCCCCCCTACAGCCCTGTGCCTGGGAGGTGTTTCCCCTCCCTCCCCAACACTACAGCTCACTTCTCTGTTTCTCAGTGCCCAGTGCTTCCAACAGCAGCAAATGACTTCTCTTCCTTGCCAGGGGGAAGAGCAGAAGGTTGTTTAAAACAGTTTTGAATTACGTAGTCCAGAAGCGTTTCTCCTACAGCTAATAAAGTCAACTTCTTACCTTCAGTGGATTCATCTTATCTTACCCAGATACCAGGTTGGGAGCGACGTTTTAAGTCCCAGACGAAAGAAAATAACCCTGCTGACCTCAAGCTGTAGCAGTTTCAAAATGCTGACATATCGGCAAGAGGATTTCCAAGTGCATTTGTGTATCTCCGCGGAGCAGCAAAAGCAGACTTGCTAAATTGGCTGGTGTTTAACCAAACATTTTATTGCTACATAACCAAGTCTTTGGGATATTTGTTTTTTTTTTTAATTAAAAAGAAAAGTCAACAATGTAGCAAAGGTCTTCAAAAATTTATAACCAATAAGAGAAGCCTGAATGTACCCCAAAGCAGGGTTTGGCTTGGCTACAGATTAAAAAGGTAGTAAGTTAATAAGAGAAGCAAGTTCCCGTCTGTATAAGCTGGAGCTGTATCTCCAGTTACTTTGGGGACACTGTAGTTTTTAAGTGGTGAGAGCTCAGGTGATACATACTGAAGTAGGACCAGACCTCGAGCTTCTACAGGGTCTAATCTTCTACCTTGACCTACCATTTACTGGTAGAATTTTTGATCTTCGACTGAGCAATAACTACAATGCTTATGTCAGAACATCCCTGCCTATTTCTTTACTAACCTGCCACCTTAGCCAGTTCTCCTTTTAGGATAGTTGTCAATCCCCACATAAAGACTGCAAGCTAAGAAGAAATCAGTTTTGGGTTAAGGTGCTCTAAAAGCTAAATACTCATTACATTTAAAAACAAAACAAACCAAAACAAAACAAACCAGAGCTGCACCTTATTTCCAGTGTGACTGCATCACGCTCCAGCTTTCAACTGCTGTATTTCATCAAGCAGTTGTCTGTTACAAACTTGCACCACATAAATAAAAAGCATAGGCAGTACATGGAGAAAAACACAGCTTTATAATAATGGAAAGGCAAAAAAAAAGGTGATAAAGTCAAAGGAAGTGGCAAAGAACAAAATGTAGTAGATGCAAAAACCAAATTCAAGTCTCTCATCTCACAGTTCTGTATAAATATTTAATGGGATACATTTATTTTCCCCATTTCAGACTAATGCCAGCCTAGTGTGGGAGGTGTCATCTAACCTTGGTGACTGCCAGGAGCTGGGTATCAACAGTTTTCAGTTTGTTTGCCTTGAGCAGGAAGAGGATATCTAGTGCATTGTGGAGGCAATACAAGGAGCAACAGATGAAAGTACTTTTTTTTTTTAGCACAGGTGAAATGTTGGTGTCACAACAATTTGAGATTTTTTTTTTTTTGTACAACCTACTCTGAAGCAGGTGAATGTGAGTGAAGAAGCCAATTGCCAAGCCCCCACCCCAACAAAGCACTGCTAGAATGGAGATGAAGGCACCCTTCCAGGCTGAGAAAGATGGCAGAGAAACATCACTGCCTGCTCTTCACAGAGGTAAAAGATGATGACTTCCTCATCACTCAAAGGTAACCTGCTCCCCCGTGGAGATGGCAAATCCACTGGGAACACCAAAATATAGTTCTTGTTGGAGAAATGCTCAAGGAGAAGTCTTGGTTGCCCATAATTGCCTCACATTCCACCGCGCACAACACAGCCTTTTCCCAAGTGTACCCTGATCCTCAGAGACACACATTTTCTCCACTTTTCTGTGATACAACAAGTCTTGAAACTCCTATGGGACAGATGGAGAATGCTTCTGCCCCAGAACAGCCCCTCAACCCAAGAGCTGGGCACTCCTTATGGTCTGTTACAGGTTTAAAGTCCTTCAAAGGGAGCAGGGAAGTCTGTGGACACCCAATGGCTCTTTAATTCCTGACCTGAGATCCCATATAATACCTGAAGCTGTCTTCATGCCTTCCCTCCCCTCGTCTCAAATGCAATTTCTAACACCTCTGTGGATACATCTCCAGCACAGTACATGGGGGATGTTATTTAAGCATGTGCCATCTGGTCAGAGACTGGCATCAAGGTACCCATGTGCCATTCAAGCACAGCCCAAGATTTCATAAGCAAAAACTGAAATATCACGCAGTGCGGTATTATGGATAAGCTGTCCAAGCAAGACCAGATGGCACCACCGTGCCCAGGACAACAAACAGAGATATTGAGTTGTCAGAGTACAAACCAAAGTCAGCCCGAGCTGTTGAGTTCGTGCTGTTTCTGCGCACGATTCCCAGGAACGAGAACCAAGCTGTTTTCCAAAGGACACTGCAGAAATGGTCCTGGAGAGGGCACTTGGATAATGCTCTGGGAGCCGCAAGGTGTCCCCCGAGGAGCCCTGGTGCCACACAAGAAGTGTGAGGAGGACATGCATGTATGGAAAAACACCAGAGCAACTGCACTTGGCACACTCAGTCGCTGCTCTGTGGTGTGGTCGCTCTACTAGGTATCCACCAGGTTGGGTGGACATCACTTTGGACTCATTACTGGGATGGAGATCACTGGGGACAACTCCTCTGCCCGCCTACTGGTTCAGACTAACACAGCAAGCTTAATTTTGAGCGTGTGTGCGTGTTGGGGTGTGTGTGAAGGACCAGCGTAACCAATTTAAGAAACCCGTAATTTTTGCTGCATTTGTTCAAAACAGCAACGTTGTTCAACACATTCAGCCGTGACTCGCTCCTGTAGCTTCCACAAAAGAAGCATTCGATTTAATATGTGAGACTCATAACCAGCTCACGCAGTGCAATAGTTCACATCAGTTTGGAGAAAAAAAAAAAATATATTCTGCTGGAAGCACAGGCAAGTAGCAGTGTCAATTTTTCATTAACCTACAGCCACTGTCTCTGTAGACTTACAGCTATAAGTAAGATTACTGTTATAATTTCTTCTGCTCCCTAAGGAGAGGGGGAAAAAAAAAAAAAAAACTTCTCAAAACTTTTAAGGTCATTTAAAAAACCCACCTTTAAATTGGAGGTAGTTTCAGTTTACTTTCATATTTCAAAATCAAATCTTAGCCGCCGCCTCACATCAAAGCAGAAATGTCAGTTGCTTTGTTTCTACATCTTCCATGAAAGAAGTTCCAGCTTACACACGAGCTGACTGCCAAGTAAATAGATTTTCCTGGGGAACAAAGGCAGGATTTTTTTTTTTTCTTTAAATGTATGTAAATAGAGTCCCAGGAGCTGAGCTGCCTGTCACTTCAACCAGGTTTACCCTGGTGTCACTCCAGCTGGTTATTTCTGACCGACCTTAGGTCAGAACTGCAGAAGTTTCCTCCCCACTCCTGGTGCCCAGCAGCCTCTCAAACCCCTTCCCTCCAGCCTCAGACCTCAGCAAAGGGGAAAGGGTTTAATGAGCATTCCCTTTTCACTAGTTTCTTACTCCTCCTTTCCTTTTTTATTTTTGATTTTAAGCTCTAGTTACAGAATCACAGAAATACTTCGGTCCTCTGCCCCAGCCACTGAGATGGTTCTTTTGGCAGATAAGATCAGGATCTGACAATATATGGTGACCACCAATAAACGGTCGGGTCTGTTCCTACCCACCTGCAGTGTATTCAAGACTGATGGTACCTGCTGGTTCATGGTCAAGATTATGGGGGCTGGGGAAGCCACAGGAATGGATTGGTAGGAAAAATGACCTGGTTGGTTTTTTTTTTCTTTTCTTTTTTTCTCCAAACAGGAGGGCACCATCAGTCTTGAGACTTCTCTTCCTAGTACCAGGCATTTGAAGAGTGGAGAGTTATTTTCCGCAAGGCCAGAAGACAACAGAAAGAGGAGTACAATCCCTTCACATCCCCCTCCTCCACTAGTCACTTTTTTTTTTTTTTTTTAAATTTAAAATAGCAGATCAATGCAAAATTAAGAGCACTCAATTCTTGTCATTTCCAAATGGCTTCAGTTACATCTCAATCTTCAGCACTCGTTTTGGGCATAATACCGGGCAGCGCTGAGGGATGCATCACTTTATACACTACACATAAACCGCAACTAAGGAAAACCCTCAAATACACGAGAAACCTCAATTTTGATTGGCCAACTTACCACAACTTCTTGATAATTCACATCACTCGGGTATTATTCAGTGTTTTCCTCTCCCTGCTTTTTTTTTTTTTTTTTCCTTCATCTCTTGACAAGTTTACAAAGAAGAGAGCGGCGCAGAGCTGAGCTGCGTTACATCCAATATGCTGCCTCCACAAACGCCAGAGAAGCTAAATGCAGCCCAGAACATATGGCGCTCTGCTGACAGAGCTCAGAAACCAGTTCTGCATGAGCAACAAGGAACATCTTGAAACGCACAAGACATATGTGTTTTAGGAAGAAGATTGAAGTGTTTCATAATAAAACAGGACAAAGTGAAATACAAGCGCTGTATAAAATTTTAATTAAAAACTGGTTTTACCCCTCAACGTGAATATACAATATGTTTCCCAGATGGATTTCGTATTTAAGTATTATCCAAACCAAAAACGTAAATGAGACAAATAAAGCCTTCAAAAATGGCACAGAGGCTAAAATGTATGTAAACACTAGATGACTGTGGTGAAAACAAGGCAGGCAGGGAAAGCAACCTCTTAGCAAATGTTTACTACTGAATGAAACCGTTCCTACAAGGATAGTCTTAGTAACAACACAATTAGCTAAACATTTGAAAATTCAAGTCAGTGTAACAATACAAATATGAGCATTAGAATTCACCACCGTTCAGCAACGTAAATGGTGCTCTTGTTAAAAGTTTCACAGGTTGTTTTATACCCTGATAATTCACGGTACACAAATGCATAATTCATGGCACACCATGCACCAAACCGCTCCTCAAGTCCCCCCCTGCTTTCAGCCTCCTGCCCCCACTTTGAAGCTCAATGGCACCCACTCTACAGGGCTATGCAAACGCCTGACCACGGAACAAAATCTTTGTGCTTGTATCCTCAGGATCAGTAACTTCTTACGAACTACGAGGGATGCTGCTTTGCAACAGGAAACTCCTTCCCCTGCGGAGGTGAGAAGGCGGCTCAGATGGCCACTGCTCAGGCTGCAGAGAGTCCTCTGCCAGGTCAGAAGCAATCACCCACAACTGAATCGAAATACACGTGAAGAAAAAGCACAATCTCCACATTGATCAAGCAAAGAGAAGGATTACAGTTCCTTTATGTTGCCAGCCAGACAAATTATTACTGCACTTCAGAGAATTTCTCACCGAAGACAAACAGGGAACAAACTGCATGTCTTTGGGAAGCCAATCCCGATAACAAAAGGAGCTACAGCCTCATCTTTTAAGGGCTTTGGTTGATGATGTTTTGAATTCCATGGAGAAAGCAGCAGAAACCAATGCAATCAATGGGGCTTGTGCTTAATAGTTCACTGCATAACAGAAACAGGAATATTAGGTGTTTTTGATCACTTCCCACAACACTGGTTTATTTGTTGAAACTGAAAGGAACCGGGCAAGGATCGGTTCTCTGCTGCTACCAGAGACCACCACCTAAACTAGACATTGTTTCTGTCAGGGAGGTAGCTCATTAAGATCATCCACAGAAGCACTGCTCTCTCTTAGCTCCAGTTGTTTTCACTGCAACCACAGAGCTAAGTTTCATTGATTTGAAAGTTTCCCCAAATTCCTTCATCACTAAACAAATCTCTTGAGATACTCAGCATCCTGATAATGATCGCTCCATAACCACTGAAGTAATTAACATCATGCTAGACTTTTCTATGACCCAGAGTTTTCACACACTACATTTCTACAGTTAAATGACCAGTTCTAAGAATTTGGTTGCACAGTTCAGTGTCTCAGACAACACCTTCAAGCTTCAAAATTAGGAAGAGCAGAAGTATCTAACAAGCTATTACTTGGACACGGCCTGAAAAGGCAGAGATTCCTTCCAGCTTTCTTTCCCTGACAAACCACACAAGCTGTGTGACACACCACACAAGCTTCTCCCCTGTCAAGTTGCACACACTGTTGCACCCCTTGCTCCTGGGGAGAAGATGAGAACAAACAATGTGATGGATGTTAACAGCTCTGACTAGTGCACACAGCAGACAGCACTGAGACATCAGGATGACAAAAAAAATAATTTGTATTAAAAAAAAACCAAGAAAGACATCATGAGACCAATCAGTGTAAGTATGATGAACCCAGATCATGCAGGAGACAGAAGCCAAGTAGGTACCAACTGTAAAGATCAGCTCCTAAAAGCACATGTAGTAAAGCAGGTCATTATCTTTTTCAGCTGTCTCTTGATTTAATCGACTTCTCTCTCTATAAGATTAAGACTTGCTTAATAATTGTCTGATTAAAACATAATAAACCTGGGAAAATTAAAATAAAGGCTTTTTAGTAACCTGGAGACGAGATGGGACTGTTCAGCCAGGCTTCCACAAAATAATTTCTGTACATTTACCTCGGGATCCCAAAGCACTTCACAGTCATTTAATTAAGCTTCAACAGAGCACAAACTCCCCATTTTACAGCTGAGGTAACAATGAGAGGGAGTTTGGAAAAGACTATTTAATACTGAGCAGAGCTAAACACACTGTTATTTTACCCAAAAAATAGATTCCCAACACCTACAGGTAGATTTCTTTCTCAGCTCACTGTTTTGGCAGCCTCTGAAGTAATAGTAAAATTCAAACATGTGCTTCACCATCTAAAGAACAGCCCTCATCACCTTCCAAGCTGCTCAGATTTAAAGTATAAACACTGCTGCCCATCCATCTTACAAAGCTGCTCCTACCTGTTCCCATTACTCTAACCATCCTACGCCTCTTGTCCCCAGTGGACCAATTTAAGCTTCCCATCTTCTGGTTGAAAACTTAGACGAGGCAAATCATTAAAGAGTTTGACATTTTTGCCTTTAATCCACAACAGGTCAATGACTGAGCGATTTCTAAAGGAAGAATTACTCAGCAAAGGATTTGCATTTCTACTGAACACAGGCAGGTAGTTTGTCTAAAGCCACCCCACGATCCTAAACTATAAGTTATTTGTAGAAAAGAGGAAAGGGAGCAAGTAGGAAGCAGACTCTACCTTATTAAAATGAAGGCAATTAAAATATTGCACTGATTGCATACCGCAAGCAACACTGGATGCTGAATAGTATTTGGTGAGAATACTCATAGGTTATAATAACTTGGGGAGGGCAAGAGAAAGAGACGGACTCCACAGAAAAACAATAATTCGCTCTTAATCTAGCCCATTATTTCTAGATTTGAGTAGGCAGCTTTCCTTCAGGAGGCAAAATGACGGGGGTGGAATTATGCCATCCCACTGTCACTAACAGACCACTTTGTGGATGGCAAAAGATAAGGAATGAGCATAGAAAATGCTATTTAAAGCTCCACTCAGGAACCTAGAAATTTGCATTTGATAGAAGGGATTTAAATTGTATTAGAAGGCAAGGTGTGCTAAACAATTACAGTTTATTACTATGTTGGTTCACTGCCTGAACCTATACTTATCACATACTGCAGTAGCAAAGGAGCAGCCGCGCTCCGTGCACTTGAGTGTATGCATATTAATAGGAGAGTTAGCTGAGCAAACAGGGAAGGGGCCAAACGCTTCCGAAAACCAAGTGGTTTGCAGATTTTATGGACAGATCGGAGTAATTCGGGTCTTAAGTCACATTTCAGAGAAAAGTTTTCCATTAACCAAACCAGATTTCCAGCACGAGGCTTGGAAGAGAAGGCTCTTTGCTGTATCGCAGCCTATAAGCTGCGGAATGACTCTGACCCAAGAGAGAAGCACATCTCCTGCAGCAGCTGATTCAGAAAGACATTATACACCCCATCTCCCCTCGCAGCTGGAGCAGGGCCAAGGACACTCAGAGTCTGTGTGCTTCATTTCTGGTTATGTTGTATATGAAGGCTACAGTGATAATACTCATACCGGTCAAAAAAAATCAATATATATATTTTTTTTACCCCCTTCCATTCAGTTTTCACCTTTGATGAATTTTTTTTGATTTTTGATGAAAAACTGCAGGTTGCCATATGGCTATATGCTTCCTTTCTTTAGCTAGGGGAACGAAACAGATACACCCCAGCCATTTCTCTGGACCCCTCAAAAACATTATCCTGTTTTTTCACAGTGGCCTCCAAACTTCCTCATCCCCTTCCTGGTGTCTTGAATTCATGACAACTTGTGTCCTTACTCATTCATGCAAAGAACAAAGCCTTAGCATCCAGGCCTCCTTACACATTGAGCAAATGGAGACTAAAATTTGCTGGACTGCTGGGGAGGGAGAAATTGAGAAGTACTTCTTGGTCACAGATAAAGCCAAAGGAGAGCAGCCAATCTTCAGAAGACCAACTTTTACTAAGCTATGACACTGGGGAGGGAAAACACAGAGACTATTGAATGAAAGCAATGGGGTACCATGAGAAGAACACTAAATCTTACAGCTCAAACACATACAGGAAACCGTAGCAACCTTCATACTTCAGTACATTCCTTTCAAACTAAAAGCTTGGAAAATATATATCAGAACCTGCCTTGCCCATTTAGGATGCATTTGAATACTCCTACTTTCCTGAGCAGCAAGGAAAAAGGACCAATTCCTTTCTGGACTAATATGGGGTCACAGGAATAGGCTCATGAATGAACACCAGGCACCAGTAGCACAATGCTCCATGGCCACCATGCCTTCAGGGGCACAGTTTGGGTAAGTTTTACTTCTCACTTCTGAAAAAAAAAAAAGTGTGCTACAACTTCACAGAGTGACTCAACACTTATCCATGGCACAGGACTGTGCAACTAATGCCCTTTGAAAGCACTAATGTGCTAAATGGCATCGGGGACAGGAAGTTATCAGTGTTAATCCACTTCAACTGGTTTAACAGTTGCAAGGAATAGAAATGTCTATATGCGAGACACTTCCTCTGAGAGTCCCCTTTCCTGAAACAGAAGCACACAGCCTTTCAACGTGCTTTCCCACCAGCATAATTGCTCACCAACTGCTTTCTCAAATCAATTATGTTGTCTCAGCATTAAAGGACGGAAAGCAGAGTAGACCCACTTTTTGTTTATCTAGGCATGCTGGCAGGTTACAGTCATATGTTCTGCCATCTGTACTGCTCGCTTTATCCTTCATCCAATCATAACAGGTAAAATGGCATTGGTGTAACTGAATCTGTTCCCACACTCAGGGAAGGAGCCAGAACAGGCATTTGTTTTTTCCCCCCCTCATTCTGAAAGGAAGCAGGAGATGGACACTCTTGCCCTTTTAAAACATTCCACTTTTCAATAGATGGGCAATTTGCCCCGGTCTGCTAATGTGGGATCTGTTCAATGCAAGGCTGAAAAGGTTCCATCCCCAGGGAAAGCATCGAACTGCTGATGAACATTTGGTGGCCTTTAGCAAAAACGATGCAGTTTCTGCCAACAGGATCCCAGCAGACTGGGAAGGACAGGCTCCAAATTAGGTGGGATTGTGATGCAGGAGCTTCAGAAGGCTTGTACGGGGTATATGAGGAGCTCACTGACTGGCTCCAGTCCTCCTCCCTCTGCACTCCTTTCTTATTCATATTTTTTTAAAATTACAAGTATATTGGCAAATGTCATGGCTGCATTCAAGAGAACCTGGAAACTTTCAAATGCACAGGGTTTGTAAAGATGACCTTTCTTCTGATACAAAGGCTGTTGGTCTGGGTGGGCTTCTTTTAAAATTTGACAGTATTAGAAAATTTATTTCTAAAGGTGTTTGAAACCACTCTGAAAGCACGTCTATAGGTCAGTATTAGAGTTGCTGCCCATCTCAAAAATAAACAATCCAAAGGCAATTTTCTAGAAAACAATTCCCTTTGTCCCAGATGGGACACTTTTAAATCAACACTCGCATTCACCTTCCTCTTTAGACCCCTTCCCTGAACACTAGGCCATATTGTTTCTTCAACCAATTCTGTTAATGCACTAAATAGCATTAATTGTTTATTAAGAATTGGCTGAAGCTGAAACCTGAGTTGATGTCTGACAGAAATGTCCATCAGACCTACTAGTCTTCAATTGACACAGTCTCAAAGGAGCAACGCCATTTTGATTAACTATGGAGGGGTGAAGTTGCTGGGTTTTGGGGTATTTTTTGGGGGTCGGGTTTTGTTTTTTCTTTTTTGAGGGGGGGTGGCTAGGGGAAGGCACAGGGGGATGTTAATAGTTTCCTTTTAGCAACCCAGGCAAAAACCCCGTTTCTCCCAAACCCTACCCAACCATAATTAGACCTTAAAACAGAGTACAAATATTTGTTACATAAAAATAGGTTTCATCACAAATATGAGCACTGTGTACTGTGTATTTCCAGGTGAATTGCTATCAGGAGTGTGTTTTTTGGTCTGAAACACCGCCAGTAGCTTTTTGGTACATGTTTCTGTATATTTTCTCCAGACTCTCTTCAAAGATCACTCTGCGAGGCTTCCCTTTGTACACAGCTGCAGGTCTAGACCAATATTCACCATTATCCAAGTGAACAATAGTGTTCTGCTGCACTGGTGAACTGTCAACAGAAAGAAGATAAATAATGATGAAATCAAGATATGAAAGAGGAATTAGAAGCACAAAACCAGCAGAAATCCCAGCGTTGAGCTGCTAAACACAGATTACCGTTCACAAATCGAAACAAATACTGCACTGCAGCTACTTCTAAGAAATAGGAGCCCCACGTTATTCAATCACACAAAATGTCCCCCACTTATCTGAGTGCACTTGATAATACCTCCCAAATAGAAAGAGAATTAATTTTCAAAGAGCATGCAGTCATTTTGCTGCATTTTGATAGGCAGTGTGACTAGGCACTAAGCCTATGCAAGAGCAACACAGTAGGATTTTTGTGTCCTTTGAAGGTCAAAATGTAACCACAAGCAGCTATTTCAATATGAAGACAATCTATCAGAGGTATATTAAATTACTGTGGTTGCAGCTGTAAAGTGCTCTATCGGAAGCATCTTGGATTAAGTATTCTACCAAATACATTATGATATAGTGGCAATCGAGTGTTCTTTCCCCACCCCATCTTCTGTGTCACTGTTTCAATACTAAACACAAATACAGTCTCATATTTCAGTTGCTTTGAGAAATTATTTTCTAGATCTATGAAGTGAAATTTATTCTCTGAAAATCATTATGAAATGCTGACAAATCTGAAGTATGTGTATCTAAACTTCATGACTATTTTCCTTCTCTTGAAACTTTCGAAACAAAGGCTCGTGTCATGTAATGAAATGAGCCTTTTTCCTGTAATAAAGCATGGAACAAGTAGCTCAAAAATAATAAGCAAACAATGACTACTGGGGTGACATTTTTCACATCTGCTTAGAGACTTAGGCACTAAGACACTTAAAATTAGGACTGAGTTATCTTCAAATTTTGTGAATGTTCTCAGTCTTGGAAATTAAACTGGAAACATGACGTTACAGTGACCATCACTTAGGAAATGGATTACATTTCACCAGAAAACTTGACATTTTCTCATATACATATGATTTATTAACCTACTATGGTCAAACCTGTACTTCAAATTTTGTCCTCAGGTTAATATCAGTCAACACCTGTGACAAAGCTGAAAGAAACCTTATGTCAAAGGACTCACAAATACACTCCTAGCTAGCTACATCAAAACACAGGGTTTTCACTTTAAGAAAGGAAAATGATGAGGGAAGAACCAGAAGATGTAGGGTCCGTTTCCTAAATTCACATTCCTAAGCTTCCACTCTCCCATGGAAAACAAAAGAAGGAATAGTTTTGCTTTTAGATTTCTTACATTCAAATACTATGGTGATGCCAATCTACACCACATAAAACAACAACAAGATGATCTGTATGTGGCTCTAATACTAAAGAAGGAGGAAGGCTACTTTCACACTTCTTCAAAAAAGCTCAACCATTTAAAGTCAGTCAACAGCATGAAGCAAATTTCAACCTGTTTATCATCCTGGAAAGGGTGAACTGTTCTTCACGGTTTGGACACAAAGAAACCAACCTATCAAACAGCAAAATCAATAGAAAAGTTATACAGGCCTGTGTTAAATGTAGACAAGTCAATACCCTGGGGATCCATTAACAACTGAAGTTTGTGTTACCTCACTTCTGATGGAGATTTCTCAGGCCAACAAATCAGCAGAGCACCAGAAGCGGTGCTTGTAACTATACAACAAACAGAATTGACACTCTTTTCCTTGGAATCCACTTCTGCAGTCAACCTTGTGCTTGCCTTTTCTTCTACTAAAGCTTAATCTCTATAGAGACACTCAAAATCCAACCTCTTCAACTGAAGTAAAGACTTAAAAACCAATAGTAACTTTCACAAATTCCTTATTTTGGTACTGACAGAGACTTAAAAAAAAACCAAAACAAGCACAAAACCAAACCAACATAAGCTTCATTTTCTTTTCTCTTTTTGGTGAGGATATGTGTACTTCCATTAGCCAGTCCTTGCAAATGAAATACTTAGCACTGGTGTGGGCAAAGACACAGCCAAGGTAGGGAAGAGTCCCTCTCCTGTCTCAACTGGAACCTGGCTGAGAACCTGAGCTAAGCAATCTGGGAATTACACTCACAAATCATATTAACAGCAGGATTTCTGCACGCAACTCCCTGCTCTGAAATACCCGTCATATGCTTTTGTTCCCTCATACATCTCCTTTAAGAGTCCCAGAAGTTCTTTTCTGAGTGAATCATATACTAAATATTTCACAAAACACGGACCTTTTCCTTACTCCCAGTGGTTTTCAATCATCTACTTTACTGCCAACATTTGGTCGACAGTACCACGTCCTTCTATGAACTCTGTCTCTGTCCTTGTATCCTGTTTATGAGCAGTGTGGCAAACACTCAGCAATCAGGCTGTCCTCGAGCCCTTTTATGTCCTGCCCTTCAGCAAATGGGACCAGCGCTGCCGGCCTCTAAACCCAAGGAGCAGTCCTTTCCCAACCGGAGTGCCACATTTCATATCCCATCACTTCTTGATTCTGTAGTAGCAGGATTTGTTTTTTCTGTTTTCATGGTCTGCAGTTTCAGCATCAAAGTCCCAAAGCTGCCTCAAAACAAAAACTTGCACTTTCTCTCTCACAAACACATCCTACACAATTTAATTGCAGCAGCTGTCAGGACAAAGGATAAGGGAGCAAAAGGCTACACGCTGGAGCGAGCACAGGTATAGAAATGCTACCAGCTTCAGCAGCAACTTCTCATACATGTGAAAATCTAAGACTAACTAGATCCCTTGTGCAGAGGTCACTATAATTAAAGGAATTAAAAAAGCCAACAAGTCATAAATGAACTTTTTAGAGCTTATTAATTGCAAGTACAAACTCACTACGATACCTATATTGACTTACCCTCCTCTCAGTGGTATACAGTGGTGATTTGGGAAGCATTTGATACAAAACACTGCATTGTATTTAATTATCAAAATAAACCCCTTTTTTCCTCATGTCAGGACCTCCCAAATTTAGCATCACCATTCTAGGACTTCTCCCTTCATATAAAGCAAAATGGAAAAGCCACACAACCCAAAAAATGTTTTACATTATTTAGTATCTTTCCTCCAACAAGTATCCAAAATGTTCTACAAAATACTGTGTGCATACATAGAGAACATCAATATTGATAACTTCCACTACAGAAGGTGTCAAAATTAATTCAAATGAATTGTCTTTGAAGTAAAAAAATTCGAATGAAATCCATGTCATATATGTGAAGAGCACACAGAATAAGTAACCTACACAAACCAGGTTTTCAAGATGTCTTCTGAAATATGGCATGCTGAGTCACTAAACCAGAGTATATACATTTGCTGCCTTTTTTAAGATGCTTCTCTTTTGCAAATATGTGTTTTGGAAAAAAAGCCAAACCAGGGCAAAAACATATTACTAAACAATCTTCAAGTTCTTTTAGCACTCCTATACTTTTAAGAAAAAAATAACCGATTGGTTATTTTTAAAGTGACATTTGCTCTCTGATTGATAAAATCCAAAAATTACTGCACAAGGATCATTTTTATGATCAAGTCCAGTTCCAAAACCAGTGTTTTATGAAGACTATACTGACACAGTTCCAAGCAGCACAAAAGGCATAAAGATAGTGAACTGTATTTTGCTTTTAGGTGAAAATGCTTGGTAGGACTAACTCCTACAGAAGCCTTTTCCCAGCACAATATACTATAGAGCTCAAAATAGGAAGAGAAATTTTTAGCTAAATTTAAAGGGCACTATCATGAGTATGACTGTTCTGTCTTGGTCAGAGAAAAACTCCATACCTGCTCTGCAGTTCATTCATGGATAAGGGCGCTTTATGCGAAGATTCTCTTGTCTTAGTCAAGTCTCCTTTTGATGAGCTACTCTCATCCTAAAAAAAAAACAGAAATCAAATTCTCATTACCTTGGTTTCTGATTACAATGATCTCATATCAAAAATACTTTCCTTTCGTTTAGTAGAAGACTATTAAAGTGCTTACATTTCTTGGGGGAGAAAGGGACAAAGTGTAATGAGCCAAAAGCCATTTATGAACACTTTTAATTAAATTCAGGACAACTCAGCTAATAATTTTCAGGTAATAAACTGGAAAGAATTTCTAGACAGTGTAGATCTAAAGAACTATGCAGACAGCACAAGCTTCACTAATCCCCAACAAACACGCTGGTTAAGTGCTATAAAACCTACTGCTCACTGCCTTACTTTTGTTTCTTGCAGAAGAAGGGAAAAAGAACCTAAAACTTATTATTTATTAGCTTTTATAATGAGCTACTGTCACCTGTTTAAGGTGTTTTACTAGACCAAAGCATTCTAGACATTTGAATACTTTGATTCCATACACAGGGCTGAGAACATGCTTACCCAACTTTAACAAATATCTATGATATTAATGACCCTTCAGTGGTATTCTTAGGAGTTGCTAGAAAGCAGTCTTACCTTCCAAATGCTATCTAGACATTAATTAACCCATATTTGTCCTCTTAGGTAAGTAAGAACCGAAACATCTCATGTGAAGGGAGCCAGATGCTCACCTGAGACAGGATGGTAGAAATTCCACCACACACAATCACATTCACTCTACTCTGAAGAGCACCACTTAAGAGGTGATATTAAGCAATGCTTTTAGCAGAAGCCAATTGCTGTAAGGATTAGTAAACAAAATAATCTTTCATGCTATAGAAGGAGTAACGGGGAAAAAAAAGACTGTGCAGTAAAAATAATCATGCTTGCTGGTAACACAAATCAGGGAGAAAAGGCAGTAAATATAGCGGTAGATAGCAATAAGATGCAGAGCAAGCTGAACAGCAGGAATATGGATGAGGAAAAAACGTAACACAATTTATTGTGGTGAAATACAAGGTAAAAAGTGTGTTTGTAAACAGGAAAACTCTCTTCCTTCAGCATTCACAGGCTACAAAGCACTGAAAAGGAAATGGGGTACAGTGGTAAATAAAATTCTGCAGCATTTGCCCGAGGCAAATTATGTTCTGGAAAGGAAAAAAAGATGGAAACATTACGATACTGTCAGAATGTCACAGCAGAAAGCTAGAGTGGACACCCTAAGGAATCTGCAGCAGAGCTCCAGTCACACTATTTTTACAGAGCACTATGGAAACGAAATTTTGGAAAACACAGCTGGATGCTTCTGGGAATGGTTATTTAGCATCAGGGTCTTTGGAAGGAAACAAAATAAGAGATACTTTTTTAACCTTTCAAAGTTTGAAAGAGGACCCGGACTGGAGCCAAAATCTACTCACCAGTGCACTTGCTTTACTATTCCCTCACTTTCAAGAAGACTCCTTTACCTCCTCCATCCACTGCCTAACACAGCAGCCTAAATTTTGGGTCGTCTGGGGAAGCACAATGAATCTTGGTGGATTTTACAGTACTCATGGCAAGTAGACCTGATTTTATTTTTTAAGCAGGTCAGCTGCTTAAAAAGCACAGCTTTCACAAGTTAGCTGCACACAATTATCAAACATCCTGAAAGTTCTCTGTAACATCCTCCCATTCCTTTTGCTCAGCGGAAGAAAATGAAATGAGAAAAACAGTCCTTTTCCAGCATTGTTCTGACCAGGCTGGTAATTCAGGACTCAAAAATCTTATCCAATATCCTGACATCTGAATTTTTTGGGGGCAGAAACACAAGGTTTTCCAGCAGGAGAGGAAACAGAAAAGCATCATCTCTGATTATTAATCCCTGTGAGTATTCAGCAAGTGTCACTGGAAGTGATGAGGTGCGCTAACAGAAAACACCATGTTTCAAGAAACTAACATGATGCTTGCAAATTTTTGCACATTTGCACAATATTGCAGTAACAAGTAAATACTGGCATATGTGTAAGTCTTCCTAGAGTAGAATGTTTTAAATTCGATAAGTAAAATAAGTAAATAGGAAGAAAATGATCAAATTCTCCTTTACCCATTACTACATTTAATAGTCTTTATGACTGTTTGGAGAGACCATGTAACCAGCCATCCAGCTCTCCTAACAAACTAGCAAATCTTTTATCGTAAAGTCATGGTCTGCTGTTCCAGGAAAGTAGTCAAGGACCACTGGAGATAGTTCAGCCTGTGCAAACTTTCATTACATGTAGGTGCTGGACCGTCATGAAATTCAATTTGTTATCTCAAGTTCATTGAAACATCAGAGAAGCATTTGACATGATTTGTTCCTATTTTGGAGGGGCTGAAACACAGAAAAATGTGATGGGCATCTTCTATTTGAGAAGCAGCAGCTCCCAAGATCATAACGTTCATATACAAAACTCAGAGACTAGTTCAGCATGAACTACCTCAAACAGTCTTAGCATGCAAGAGAAAACGTTTTTCAGAGTTTAAAACAAAAAAAGCACAACAACTAAGCTAAAAATTAAGATTGAGCGGAAATGAGAAAATAATCCTATTAAGAGAGCATGTAGGCAACACAAGGAGCTGCCCAGGATGGCTAAATTTGAGGAAATAAATACATAAATCAATGAATCGAGCCTTCAGAGCTAAGGCAGATGTTCTTCAGTAGATCTTGCAGCAGTGGACTGAGACAAAGATGGACAGTTGGGGACAGCAGGAAATTAAAACTGCAGCAACATTTAAAAGCACATTTCTGCCAATTCTCCTTTTTTTAAGAGAAGAAGCTGAAGGAAAAAAAGATGACTTTCTCCACTTTGAGAGACTCATGTCTTTTAACCGATCAATAACATTTGTGTGTCAGATTGTCAGACAAAAATAATTCCATCAGAGCTCCCAATCTTAATCTTACCTACCGTACCCACCTCTCATCCTTACATCCTCTTACCTTACCTTTCTTTTAGCTCACCTTACACTCAAGACCCTAAATTCTTTATAGATGAACAACCTTGTTATTCAGTTTGTAAAATGCTCTGGCCAGGGAGATCCTGTGCCACAACTGGGTTTTATCTGTCTAAAACCACACTTCAAAATTCCATCAGACTCAATGGCAAGATACTCTGATCCCAGCATAATCTCAGTAGATAAAGAGCTCTGTTATTGAAAGCCAGGTAATTAAGGGAAAAAAGCACACATCTGTAGAATAATATTAGCTCTACAAACAGCTGGACACAAGCAGCTGCTGATGTGCAGGTGCATAACATGTTGAGCCTTGATGTTCTACAGATCTGTAACCTATTTTTTTTTGCTTAAATTGGAAGTGGAGAATCAGGTATAAAAAAATCCCATAGTTGTCCTCAATATCCCATGAGAGGATTACCTATACCAGCTGTCCATAAAGGCTACATATAAGGAGGCTACTGTAATCAGTGTTAAATAGTTCTGCTTACATACTGAATTCGTATTTCTACAGTCAAGGTCGCCTCAACAGACAATATTATAATAAATCCAGGACCGTAGGCATAATTCTTTTCCTCATCCATCTTGGAGAAAAGAAAGGGTTTAGTTTGCAGTCAAACTTACAAATACGAGGCGCTGTCTGGCACTGTGTGTCCTTAAAATATTTTTCACTCTTTTATGGATCTCATCTCCATTTGCTGGTGAAGGCCAACCAGAGCTAAATCTGCAGGAGAAAGAGGAAAAACAAACAGAAGAAATATTTTCTTGTTGAAAAGCTAAAACATGCTTTTGACTCAATTTTTTTTTTTTTTTTAAATTATGAAGCATGCATTACTTCCTTCTATTTGAAACATACACAATGTTTAGATTTGATTCTTTTTCTCCTCTGGGGTACAAGTAAAGAAACATTTCAAAGCAATGCCTAACTGGTATGCAGCCACAACACCAACAGAAGATGTGAAACGCAGAAAATGTTGATGATTTTGCAACTTCAGTAATATTTCTGTAATGTCTGTATTGTCCCTACAGAATAGAAAAGCTATACAGTTATTCTATTCCCAGTGATCAGGTTTCATTTTCTTCTTTTTAAAGGAAGTATTACACACATGAAATTCTTTTCACTGGAATAAATCAACAGGAAGATAACCCCAATGTGTGCAATTTGAAAAGCCCATGGAGTTAAAAACCTGCAAATTCACCATCTTTATTTAACAAGACAGAACTGCATTTTAAGTTGCTTTTTTACATTAAAAACAGGTAGCTTGTTTGATATGAATGACTTACAACCAACAGCTACTTTTGGATTTTACCATTTTATGTTTTGCAGCACATTTGTTTCCACTTTACTAAAAAAAAAATAAATAAAAACCAAACCTCACACACATTCAGAAGCTGGCAGAAGTTTTGTATCAATAGTTCTTCTCAAACTGTTAAGGGAGACAACTAAGATTTTAAGAATAGGATCACTTACACACCAGCCTCCACATGTTCATGTTAGTACACTCAAAAATTTATCATTTATTAAAATATCAATATAAAGCAAGAATTATTGGGGAAAAGTTATGAAATGTTGACTGACACAATCTCATCACGGTGGATTGAAACAGGGCACCAAATCAAGAACGTGCATATTCATTTCAATGTTTTCTAACCTCTGAGAACCTGACTTTGCACCAAGAAAATAAAAACTCATTATGTGTATCATGCTAATATGAATACAGGTGACCAGGCAAGTGGCAAACCATACTGCTGCAATCTGAGTTAATGGAATGACAGCCCATAACAGTCCTGGGCTGTCATACTCTGTGTGGATTAGAAGCACAAGAAACAGTGACATGCTTCAGTAGTTGGCTTCAGAAGTTTGATGCTGTGGAGAAATACCATGACTTTGAACCCTGAGATTTTACACTGGGCTCTGGATGCGCTTGTGGGACTGAGACTGCGAGCCCTTCTGCCCTCTTCTCTCCAATTTATCACATTCCTGGCGTTATCCAGTCTCTGAAATCCCCAATCTGATCATGCCTGGTTTAGCTTTCCTTCATCAAACTTTGAGAAATTTCAATACAGCTACAGAACTGTACAGCTCCTTTCAAAAAGAACAAACCAAGTACACAGAAAGCTTCAGTCCAAAACAAGTAACCCAGCAATGTTAAAACTAACAGAAGCAGGATCCTGAATACGGGAAGTGCCAGGCTGCCTTGGAGGTTATAGGCAGGGCTGGGAGTACTTTGCAATCTTTTGGATCATTCCTTCTAATATGAGAGAGAGATAGAAATATAAGTAGAAAGTGACCAATTCTCTGCTTTTGAGTAACTTCCTTCTATTTTCTTGTATCTAATCAACTTATTTGGACTTAGTCCTTATTGCTTACCTTTCTGAAATACCTCTCTCTGTTCTAAAGACCCTCAGTATTTTCAGCCTATTTATGAGTTTCTTTACATCAAACCGTCTATTTCTGAATGCTTCTATTTTTCTTCAAGAAAGAGTGCCAAGAAATGATACAATATTGGAAGGATGAATCATATAATCTAGGGGGGATGTATTTTTCATATTTCTACATTTAACATTGTTTATCTTCGGAACGTTACAGGTAATAATTTTCACAAAGCTGGCTATAACATTCATATTAGCATCCTGAACATTTACAATTAATACCAAACCCAGCAGCATGCATGGCATATTGATAGTGTTTGATTCTTTTGTATACTAGAATCTAATGATGTTGCACCAAAAAATCTCACATAACTTTTCCTAAAAGAAAGCAAAACGGTTTGTGAATTTTGTTAGAGGAAGAAAGCATTGCCTTTAAAGAAATAGAAGTCTAAGTCCCTTAAGCAGGCAGGAACATTCATTTCCCTAACACAGTCAAACCCAGTTTGATGTACTGCATTACAATGCATGTGCTCTGCCACTAGTGGTGTTTTGAAAATAAACTACTACTTTTTTTTTTTTTTTTTTTTTTAAAAGAAGAGGGGCAAAGGAAAGGGCCAGGAATTGTACTATCATCTTTTTTTTTTTTTTTTTTTTTTCTTAAAAGAAGAGAGGCAAAGGAAAGGGCCAGGAATTGTACTATCATCTTATGACTTCCCATTAGCATTTACAAACATTTACTAATATTAAAAACCTTCAAAATGCATGTTTAAAATCTGCATCCTAGTTGCAGTAAGAGAGTGAGTCATTTCCCATTTGACAAATAAAAGATAGACTCATGAAGTCATGGCATTTTCTCTTATTTATACAGCAGCTGCTCTTCTTCCAACATCCAGGTTGCTGGCACAGAGAAGTTGGAATAGATTGCCTTTGGGAAATAAATTTTATGAAATTCGTATGTAAGACCTCAGATCATTGTTATTAATCTTAAATTTACAAATATCCTTGGAGATAAATGTATTTACTTTTGGAAAAAAGAAAACCCAGCTTGCTATTGTATTCATTTAGAAAATACGTGGCTCTGTCTGGAAGAAGAAGAAGAAGATTTAAGTACTTAATTCAAGAGCTATTAGATTTCTTTCTTCAGGTGACTTTATTGATCAATCCACTAGTGTGCGCTGTGGTATAAGAAATGTTACCCATTCACAGATAGCCCAAATTTAATTTACAACAAAAAAAAGAAGAAAAAGACTTTCAAAACCTTAAGTGTGATTAAAAACAGTATTGGCTTCTTTTTAATTAGTTTTTCTAGTATTGTTATTGTCTAATTTTAGTAACAACTATAGAGTCTAATCCACATTTAAAGTGATTCTGTGATTCTTACATCAGCCAAAACTCAAAGTATAATAAAATCAAGCCTGAAACGCAACAACCATAATCTGAAGTGAAACCTTTCTATGACACTCTAAGTCTCCTATTGGAAATATTTTATAAAACAGGCTTTAGAGCACAGCTTCTTAAAGTATAAATAAAGGGATTCCGTTTGCCGAAAATCACCAAGAGTGACTTTTTAAAATGACTAGCTACTTATTTATGTGATTAAGGTGTCACTATCATATTGCAATGTTGAAAGGACAGTCATTTCATTTCAATGACTGTTTGTCCTGCTAAATGAAATAAACTTCTACAGCTGTATTCTTTGTCATACTTTCAATTTTCCCTGGGACTTGCAAACATTCTGCAGTTACATCAGTTTAAATTGTTTATTGATTCCAATAGATTGTATAAACACTTTGGAAATATAGCTCAGTGACCTAGAAAAAGCCAGATCAATCAGAGAACTTCTCAAGATTAATTTCAAAGATGTTGTGTCGAGTACGATCAAGGAAACAGAACCATTTTCCCTTGTAATGTGACTAAAGGCATTTATTTTCTTTTATGAAATAAGGATTATATATTTTTTTAAGGTCATACAGACAACATCTACTTTGATGAAGCAAAAAGAAGCCTAAAGATTGTGCTAAAGTTTGAAGTTATTTTCATGTATAATTTTATCCATTAGGATGAAACACTCCATTAGAAATGCAAACAGGATACATCCACCCATGTACTCTAGTCAAACAGCAGCTTGCAAACTTGAGAGTTGTAATAAATAGGAATTTTCAAATGTCAGACAATCCAATCATCCCCTTGCACACAGCAAAAATGTTAATGTCAGATTTCAGCAGGAGATACTAATACGTTTCATATCAATAGAATTAATGCAAAAGCCTACTGCAGAATATTTGCAATGCCTATCGTGAACCAGTCCCCCACCATCGCACCTCCTGGCCTTGTGAACAACTCGGTGCATGTGGCCTCCATGAAGAATTCATCAGCTTCAAAGACACGGGCTTCATGCTGAGCAAAACCACATACAAGGACAAACTATCAGAGGACAGAAATCAATGAAGTACTGTAGTACCAGCTTCACAATTGGAGAGAACGCTACTGTAATTGGGGAGAAGAGGGAGAAAGAACTCTTAAAGCTAAGTATAACCTGAAAAACCATAATCTGCAAGAACTTATACACGGAACAAGAGAGATTCTCAAGAAAACCAAACATATTTAATTCTGAAATAGGAAAAAACCAGATTTTACATCCAAGTAGACATTTATGCAGCATTCACAGTAAGTGGAGACGTTGCTTTATTCTCATTTAAGAGGCCATGAAGTGGCAATTCAGTACAATGAACTTGGTTCTCAGTGTATACTGGTCTATACAGAGGCACAATAGAAAGGCTGGGCTACGCTTAAGAGTTTTACTGATCTACTTAGTAAAGGATGCAATTTTGTTTTGCTTTTCTTAAAATGACTGATGGCTGTGAAACCTTAGCGTAGATGCAGCTACTCCAGCGCAAAAGTGTTTTGGAGACTGTATTGGTACATACCAGTTCCTGAATTGTAATGAAAACATACCAACATACAAACACAGTAAGAACATAAGGATTTTTAAGTGGAGAAAGTACGCTGCTTTCACAATGCCAGGATACTACTATGAAGCATAAACAATTACACACTGACAAGGCCTTAAATCAAAGCACAGCAGCCTATACATTTGGAAGCAGAAGCTGACAGCTTAGTTGTGTACCCATTTGGTCTCCTTCTTCAGTAAGAAATTTTAAAAAGGTAAAAATTTCTCAGCCTTTCTAAATAGTTTCTCTTACTTTCAAGAGCCCTGTTCACAGTTAGGCCTTGAAGTGCTAGAGGTACATTCAGTGCTGAGTTTTTAAATTTGTAAATGCTTTCTTTGCCCTCCTAAGCTTCATATCTAGTCCTTAAAACTGGGGCAAGATACATCATCCTCATGTACAAAGTGAATCCCAAGTGCCAAACAGCTTGACAGGCCAATACTCTAGACTGAACAGTCGCTCCAAAAAGGCTGAAGTTATTCTGGTTCCAAACTATTAGTATATCATGAATGGGCTGCACCTCCTTATACTCTTTGAAAGCTTTTCCATTTTTACCTTTTTATCTTCTCTGAATCTATTCATTTATATACAAAACAGCTTTGACAGCAATCAATTTCAAATTTACCTATGGCTGCAGCAAAATCAACTAACAAAGATGACAAATAGTACAGATGTTGGTCAAAAATATGAAACAAAGCTGAGGTACTGCTCAGTTTTGCAGAATATAGTATGAAATAATTGATCTTCAAGTGCTAACTTCCCGAGGTTGACTTAAATAATGCAAAATAAGGAAAATTCCCCAAGAGGTAAGACTGATAAACCCAAAAGATTCAAGAACAACCTTACTACCAAACTAAATTTAAAAAAAAATATCAGAAATAGGGATTTTTAAATAGCTATAAATAGACAGGAAGCCTAGTTGCTGCCTCTCTCTAGAGCAAGCTTTTTTTCTAAAGAGTCTGTTAAATTTTTCAATGTTCCACTTTCCACTTTGTAGCAGAAAGTTCTCAGAACTTAAACACACTCTCACAGAAGTAAATCCTGTCTTAGGATACATGTCATTCTCTAGAATATCAGGTGAACTACCTGTGGTCTGGATTTTGCTATGCAACAAAATTAGTACCCAAGATCCTGGGTTGACATTTCAAGGTCACTGAAGCCAAAGCTTCTGATAACTGGAATTTTCAAGGACTTCACGTAAGATCTAGTCTTTCATTAGTATCTAGCTATTAGTATGTATCATTATACCTATCACTAGTAATAGCTAACTTCACGCTGGTATTTCCCTATTACTTGGAAAAAGAGAACAGAAAAAGATGGTAGTAAAACAATAGAGGAATATTACAGAAGGGCATCTGATCCATACAGTTAACCTCTGTCTTACTTCAAACAAACCTAGATTTTTGTTAAATTTTATAGTAGGTAAGATCACATATCAGCAGTATAACCAGGAGAACATAAAAAAAGACACTGAGCTGGACTTCACTCTGGAAATGATTATTTTTCAGATCAATGATTAAAAAAAAAAAGCAAAAGCCTGCCATGTTCAGAGTAGGAAAAAAGAATCCTTTGATCCCAAATGCATGAGAAGTAGCTTTGCCTCTCAACATAACAGAAATGGTCAAATACTCCTATGATTGCTGCAGTCTCTTGCAAAAAGAATTTTTGTTGTGCCAGCAGATAGCTTGATGGAGAGGACTTCTGTCATTCCCTTACGGAACTCCCCTCGCCATTTCTCCTTTTCTTTATGAGGTTCTTTGCTGCAAGTACCTTTGCTGCTTCACCTTGCAAGTCCCCAAGAAAAACACCATTTTATCAGTGTGCATGAGGCTGTACATGCACTATGAAAGCAAGGACTGGACCTGAGCTTTCCTTTCCTGCAGCAGCACTGGGAGCAGATAGTGCTAACGCTCTTTCAGAAAGCATAGAGGATGCTTATCTATGCACAAAAGGACACATCTACACACAACCAGCCAGCCTGTGGGGGCAAGTCAACTACATTGACTGAAGGTGGCCACACGTTGTGGGCAGGAACTGAAGAGTGTGCATTTAGCATCACTCTGTGCAGGAGCTAAAATCAAAACAAGAAGTAGAGCTGTAGAGCCCCCTCAGTCTGCAACACTAGCAAATGCTTTCCTTGGGAGACCTAAATTATGAAAAATGTAAAAGTATGAAAAATAAATATTCAAAACTTTACTGACTTGTTCAGCAGTAAATCTGCTTACAGTTTTGCTTCTGGCTCACACCCAGTGGAAAAGGGGAGAGGATTGATTTCTAGTCTTTCTAGTAGGCTCACAGAAAGGGACTGGAAACTGCTAGAAAAAGGGCTCAGAGGACCTTATGCAAGACCCCAATTTCTGTATCACTGAAAAGCATTGCAAGTGGCTTTACAACTATTCAGCAGTTCTCTGGGAAGTACTCCCAAGAAGGCAGATGTTCATTTCACACTACTTTTTTTTAGAAAAAAGGAAAAAAAGGAATTAAAGGTTAAGGTGGGGAGTCAAGTTTTATATTGACTGTGGGTTGACTAGCATTAAAAAAAAATAGCCTGGTTATGCTAAGCTCCTAGCCTTTGTAATTAAAAAAAAAAAAAAGGGAAATAAAAAAATGCTGGGAGATAAGACTGTATCCTTGCAAATACACTAACCCTGGTATACTTTCAATAGTACTGATTTTCTCTGTATTTCTGTGATCTGAGCAGCAGCGTTTGCATGCATTTCCAAACATTGACCTCTGATCCATGTTTGTCATTCCAACTATAGCTTTCAGTATACAGTCAGCTAAAGCCATTGTTATCTCAGCAGCATGAAATAGAGATCAAATTTTTTAGACCATGCCCTTTACCTTATAATTTTGAATTTTTTCTGATGATAAAAGCAAATGCTTACATCTTTTAACATAAAGAGATATGACATCTCTAAAGAGCTGAGAAAATTTGTTCTAATAAGAAGAAAAAACATAATTTCACAAGAACACAAATCTCTTCTGGAGAGGGACTCATAGAAAGAAAAAGCAAGACTATTCAGATAATTTCAAGATTAACTGGCAGACGACTGAATTACTATGCATGTAACGGCAGCTCACAACATATGAGACTTTCCTGGTACCAATACAAGGGACCCTGTCAGCTTTAAATATAATCTATTTTAAAATTTAACACTCCCCCCAAAGGAGTCCAATTGAAAAAACAAGGATAAAAAAGTCACCATTATAGTATCTCTTCCCCAGACATGGGTAACTAATGCACGAACAATGTCAGAAGAGTGGGGAGGTAGACAAGATGACAAAGAAACCTCCTGCAAACCCCAGATACATCCTAATACCTGTATAACAGTTCTTAAGAAACGCTATTACACAGAACAACAAACAAGCAAGTTTTCAAGCAGAAGAAGATGTTAAAACATCAACTTGATCTTTATAAGTATTAAAAAGTCAATCCCCACCTGCCATCTGTCATTTTTCTTTTTAAAGAAAAAAACTGAGATGATTTTTCTATTTTAAAAAAAGGCATTAGGCTGTGTGTGGGCTACAAAATGCACCCTGTGAACATGAACTAACTGAGGTACCAACAGTAAAAAGGGTGGAACAGCCTGGGATGAGTGAGAACCAGCCACCAAAGTACATCTCCCAGGAGGGCCTCAGTAAACACTGCAGCACTTAGGACATGACATAAGTTTGATCCTCAGCTTCTCCCAATTATTTTATGTATTTGCTTATTCAGGCCCAGCTTTGTATATAGTTTTTCTGCTCCTAGAAAGTCATCTAGTAACTTACTAAACTGAATGTACAGTAGAAGCATTGTGCACCAAGTACAAAATATTAACCCCAGGATTGAAATCCACTGAATTAAGGGCTTTTAGGAACTGTCTCCACCTCAACCCCACTGCGGTCAGTGGAGACTACTAAGAAAACTCATTTAAATATAGCAATTAATATCCACAATTGCTGCAGAGGCCCACACTTCAACCTAAACAAAAAAATCTTAGGATGTCAATATAGCAGAAAGATTGGAAAATAACACACCGACTAGATGCAAGCCAGCCCAAGCATGCTATGCACACCCCAGTCACGCATCTGACTACAGAGCAGCCACAAGCGTGTGCTTACAAACACTAAACTGAAGGTTTCCCAGTACCTCCCATAAAGCCTACTTGACACATATCTATATTTACATTCCTGAGATTCTAATCGCCTCTGAAACAGTGATTATTTATTTATCTAAGTATTCTTTGTTTGAGACGGACATTGGCAGCCTGAAATCTGGGGCTTCATTGTTTCAAAGTGTTTCAGAGTTGTCAAAGATCCTTTTCATTGCCATATTATTAGGATTGCGTTCATTAAGCAGAGAGGTGACGGCAAACACAGAGGAATAGTCAAACAACAATATAGTTGTTGGGGAAAGATTTTTCAGTCTCTTCAGGCTGCACACCTCCAAACATGCAAACTATAATCATGCAAGTACTGTTACTTGCTCATGTTAATAGCGCCAGAATTTCACAAACAAAGCCAAATCATTCATTACCTTTCCCTTAGAGAAGATCGATTTAGAACAGAACTTGGAGAATGCTTCCGAGATGTTGGAGGTGCTGAATGTTCTGAAAAGCCAGCAGAACGGGACGGTTTGTTGGGTGAATCTGAGATCCTATCCTCATTGCAAACGTATTTTCCATGAGCAGGTTTTGCCTGTAAAAAAAACCCACCAAACCTTGCTAAAATTAATTATGAATATCAAGACGAACAGTTCTCATGTTTTCATTTTTCAAACAAAAAGGTTAAATATTGCACACACATGCAGGAATAACTCCCTGCTCAGGAAAGAATAAGGACCCTCATTTCTTAGGAAGAGCCCCGGTCTAAATTAAATCAAAAAGCACCAGAGGACTCTGTTGGTATGGAACACACCATCTTACGGAAAAGCCTAGTGTCACAGCTCTTTTATCATCTTTTCTGACTGCACCATTTAAAGACTGACCCCTCCCAGGAATCTCACTGATTCAGAACAATGCCTGAGAGCTCTAAACAACACAAACCTCAGACCTCTCCTCAGTTTGGGACCCCTTGTTCTTAAGATATTTATTTTTTCCTCATGATTTGCTGTTCCTCAAAGCAAACTCAGGCCCACCAACTCATCTTCTACTCACTCTTCACTATACTAGTTACTCCTTTCATAATTCCTCTTAACCTGAAACATACCACTAAAATGTCTGTATGGCTTACCCCATTTTACCTGGAAAGGGGACTTTTACAGGAGCTGTTTTGCAAAGCTGAGTCAAAAAAACCCCAACATCACAACAAAACCAGACCAACGATAATCAGGTTATTCATTAGCACTTTCCAGGCTGCAGGGTGGTTTTCCTTGGCTTTGGTAAACAGCTGCTCTTAGACACAGCTATATTATATTTCTGGCAAAAAAAAGATACACTCTCTTCAGCCCTGATTTGGTGAGAATCACAAGTAATTAGAGGCATCAAGAATATGATGAATTAACCTGTAGCTCAGCTATCTGCATTCTCCAAACAGCCTCTGCTCCTAAAATCTACTTTCCCACTGGGAAGAGAGAGATGGGGGGGGAAAAGACAACCTTAAAATAGCCATCATAAAAGAAACCCAACAAAACCCAACAACATATTTAGCATATTTAGTAGAAATTACATATTTTCTTTACCGTTTCTCATTTACAGCCATGGAACAATCCTGAAGTGGCACAATATATTAGACTCACATGGTATGCAAAACTGCAATCCTTGATAATAAAAGTTTAGAATCTGACAGAATTGTGCTTAACATATATCAAGGTTTATCCTTCTAATTCCCTTTCTATCCTCTTCCCTATTATCATCAGTTTTCCCTGCCATTAGGAAATCTAAGAGGGCGTACATAATTAAATGCCTAAACCCACAATTTCTGCACTACTTCAGGAACACCGACAAAAACAATTAAATGAGGATGGAAAGAATAAAAAACACCAAAAAAAAAAGGGAACTCTGACATTAATCTTCAGATCCATTTAACACACAAAGCAACTACAATCTGAAAAAGCAAGGATGTGAAATAACAGAGCAGTGGCTTGCCAGTTGTACCAGGGCTACCTTTACATACCATTCCAGAACAAAGCGTGCTCTCAGAATGAGTGGGAAGGCAAAAGAAAACTGCCTTTAAAGGCTCTTTTACAGCCTTGTCACAAGCCTTAATGCCAAGGAAAACCAATTTTTGTGCCTTCAGGCATGAATATCTTATAAAGTGTTAAGTTTCACATTTCTATTTGTAAATAATCTGTCAGCAGACCTAAACCAGGTTAGATCAGATTTAAAATATCCTTTTTCTTGCTTTTGATATTATAGTAGATAAAGTTTCAAAAATACTTATGCAGAACAATCCTTCTCACTCAGAGCTTCCCAAAAAACAATTCATAAATAATAGCACTTTAGAGTACTCACTTTGGCTTTCTTGGGTCTGTAGCTGCCGAGAAGAGATGGATCTGGAGAAAGAAAAAAGGTGCATCCCAGAAGAAATTCAAAATAAAATCCAAATGTCCTAAATTTTATGAGATCTTTTACAAAATAGCTTACCACTCCTCCCAAACAGTACTAAAGTAATTTATTATTGTTATTATATGTTGTGAAATTCTAAACAGTCTCCTCAGAATATTTCAGGAAATCACTTTCTTTAGCTGAAAACAATGACTTCACATTTAATGGAATACAGTGTTTACCATAATGAATGAGTGTACACACTGTCTTCTGCATAGATGGAAGAGGCACGTTTTGTTAAGCTATTAACTGCCTAAATCAAGATAAAATCAAGCTCCACCATTCACAAAAATATTTATATACATTACACTACCTTACTAACCTTTTCTGAACAAGCTTCTCTAGAATCACCTCTCCCTGTTTTTATCAACTCTTCATTTCTTCCCTCACCACTAACCCACCATTGTGAGTATGAAGCCCATGGAAACACACGGGGGGAAAATACTAGCTCCATACCAGGTTAGGATGTTCCACCAATGTCAATATGCACCTCACCCCTGAGGGACTGACATTAAATTATGTCTGGTTTCTTGATCTGTTATATCAGTCTGTACTGAAAAATGCTCACACTGTGACCCAAGGCCGAAGAGGTACTTCTATGCTGTACTGCAACGTAAAAGACACCCCTCTATCAGCTACCTGCACAAATAACTCAACCGTACTGTCAGTATTAAATTTCTAGGAATTTGCTTTTTTCAGAAGTCCCAGTAAGGCTTCAAGACACAGGCAGGTGACCAGTGCATCCTCTGGATATTAATAGTGGGGTAGATTTTGGTCTCTTAATCACTGGTCAGTTCCTAAGTATGTAATGGTATCAGGTGATAATAGGTCTGTTACATTATCCAGCTACTGCAGATTGGCAAGTATGACCCCAATGGGAATGTGAAACTTTTAAAATCCTGCACCCAGTGCTACTGCAAAGAACAAAGGTAAAATAACAATTTCATAATGATTTGCTATATAACAATTTATACTTAGTGAGGAGGTGCAATAAAAATGAGGCAGAGCACACATAACAAACAAGTACTGGTGAGACTCATTAAAATCCTCAAATTGCCAGACACATGCAATAAAAGCGAGTTTTAGGGTACTTCCTTAAATTTCTGGTCCCATACCTTTTATAAAACCCTCATTTACTTATACCAATGAGTGCCGAAGCAGATATTCAAGCACATCCTTGATGCTGATTAATAATGGTAAGGCACTGATCCACTACTCACAAACACTGTTGAAATAAACGTTACTCATTTTTGAAGCAACGGAGCCCTTGAACTTTGAAATCATCAGTACTCCAAACCTGATCAACACACCCACAGACTGTGGTGCAGATCTGCTCCACTATCCAACTCATCAAAGCAAGTGGAGTGAAACAGAGCGCTTGCCTGGGCTTTGGTATTTTCTACGCCTACTTTCCTATCATGTAGAACTATGTTCCAAGTTTCATAAGGCAAAGAACCATCCAAAACCACCTTTTGCAGCAGAAGCTTACTCAGTATTCTTCCTATTCCTAGGAAGAAAGAAGAATTTCTCCATTATAGACTGACTTTTTAAAAATAAATTAGAAACCAAAACAAAAAAACCCAAACAAAATAACCTCACTACACTACTGCAGAAAACAAAAGCATTAATCAGATATATAGTAGAAAATACTGACCATAGTCTACCTTGGCCCAGGCTTCTGCTGTGCTTTCTCGTGTGGGACACCAGGTATGAAGTTTAATACTAGGACTTGGTTGTTCAACCTAAAGCAAAAATACTGTTAAAATGCTCAGTATCAAACGTATCAATTTTTTTTTTTTTTTTCTGGTTTTATTCATAAGATCACATCTAGTCCTTTCTTAAATTTTTTATTCTTATTTAAATACTATTTAAAACCATTTTCACAACACTTTGCTCATATTATGCATATTATTAGCATCCCTGCACATAAACAAAAACACTGGTAGAAAGGTCTAGAAATCTCCAAATACCATATTGTTAAAAAAAATACAGATAGTTCCCCCTTCATCTATAATGTCTGCAATCTTTTTAAACAATTCTTGCTATCTCATATTTATTCCAAACAGTTCAGCTCTCACCAAGAGAGATCTGAATCTCTTCCTAATTAAAAAAGTTACATTTAACATAATCTAATTTTAGTCTTCATGTAACACAAAATCTCCAGACCAAAAAAAGTCCTCAGCAGTAAAGATGCCCTAAAAAGAGCTTTCTCAACCTAGAAAGGCCATGACAGTCAGGATATGGGTACATTAAGAGATAAGCTTTTTCCTTTTTTGTACAAACATAATCCAGCAATCAAAATCAATGATCAGTGTTGAAAGATGCTATAATTAAACTGTGAACTTCACCTATAGATCAAAAAACAGAAGAATTGATTAAAAAGAGTTAAAAATATGTGAGAGAAAAGATAAACAGTAGATTGCTGAATGATTAATGGCTTATTAAAGCTAATCTGAATTTCTAAAAGGTACCTATATGTAGAATAAAGCCTGGAAAAGAAGTCTAAAATTTGACAGGATGTTATTAATTCATTTGTACATAAACTAGAAAAAAATAAATAAAGTGAGATGCAAACTAATTAAACACTAAATTGTCTCAATGGCTGTAACAAGTGTCCAAAATTGTACACAAATCATAATATCATAGTACTGAATCAGGACAATCCCATCTCTGCCCCTACACATTCGAATTGGTATTCTGAAAATAAAAAATTGTTGCAATCGTAAGAAAAACTAAGAGAAAAAAAATTATGAAAATATGATCTTCCAAGAGGCTGGGAAATCTGCCCCCTTCATAATAAAGCACTTAAACACAGTTTCTTTAAATAAGTACCTAATTTCAGAACAATTTTTCATATACAGTTAGCAAAAAGTCCTTATGCAGGTGCTGAAGTCAGGTTGGTTATGAACTCTAAGTCAAAGTGTTAGAGATGTAGCTCTGAGCAAAGGAAGTGTTTCAAAGATCATAGGATGCCAACATAAAAAAAAGTTAAAAGAGAGGAAGTGTAAGTGTTCCTAATGCGACTAGACATTCTTTCTTTAAAGTCTTATTCAGGAATTTTTAATACTAATATCAATTACTTCCAAGCTGAATTTATACACCTATTATCCTGTCTAGTGCGCTAGAAGAAAAGAAATGGGGCCTCAGAGAATTTAACCGAGATATTCATGAAAGAATTTGATCTTTGTCTGCTAGTAACACGGATAAAAGAAATTTTATTTTAGTTAATTTTACATTTAAATCACTATGTGACAGACTGTTAAGGAGAGAAAAATTATTCATCTAAACTAAGAGCTGAATGAATTTTTGGAGCAGTATTTAGTGAAAGAACAATATTTGATCTGAGCTTAAGCTGGAAGCACTTTGGAGAGAATACAAACCCGTCTAACTACAAATGGAGGTTTATCAGTTTCTCTTCTGAATTCATAAGGACCAAGGCTTAAATGGGCCAGTCGTTGCCTGGCTTCTTCTGATAGCTCACACATTCGTCTTTTTGTGTATGGAGATGGAGAACGTGATTTAGAAGCTATTGTAGGCTGCTCGTAGTTCTTTGTTGCTAAGCTGTGCCTGCTTTTCTCAGGTGAAAGGGTAATTTTCTTTGGTAACTTTGTTTGCAATTTTCCATTTGGGGTTGAGTGATGCACCCGATTCAAATCGCCCTAAAGTAAAAAAGAGAAATTATCTGGTTTGACAGCATGAAGAACAAAGATCACTGAAAATAAAGCAAACGGGGAACTACTAATTTTAACAGAAATAGATGCCATGTCAGCTGAAGTTCCTCTCGCAAAACTATAATCAAACAGCAATTTAAAAAACGACGACGTATTTACCATCTTCTCTGAAACCAAAAGAAGGTCAAAACACACATTACTACATGTTAGATTTTAAGGTTAAGTGTTTCATACTTACCCAGTTAGCTTTCTCACACAGTTAGTGTACAGAGACTGTAAAAAATTAAATTGAATTTTGTCACAAGTTCATTTAACACAAACTTTACCTGGATTGGACTTACACAGATTTGAAGCATTTTTTAATCTGTTTAAACTTTTTTTTAACTTTTAAATATTCTTATCCTTAAAATAAAATACATAAACCAGAAGCCCGTTTAATAGTTTAAATTACATTCATTTAGAGCTGCTTAAAGCCTCACAAGGAGTGTAATTACGTTCTCTAATATTTGTATTTTCTGTGATCATGCTAAATTTATTAGTTCTTTTTACACCGCTGATCAAGAAGCTATGCAGAGTTAAAAAAGCCAACATTCCCCCACCAAAAAAAACAACAAAAAACTTTAAAGACCACCTTCCAAAGATCCTCTGAAATCAGTGACTACTTTTACAAAAAAAGCAGCAAAGCAGCTGTTTATTTTTAAAACTGGCACTTGACATCTGAAATATGGATTTTGTAGCTGAAACTTGTAAAAATCAGACCATTATCAAATATTGCCTGAGAAGTCTATCTCTTAGTTGATATTGCTTTTAAGATATCTACGTACAGCAGAATAAAGGCTATTAATTGTGCTGTACGTAGGTATGGAACCAAGGCTATTACAGTTGGACTGAATGATCTTAAAGGTCTTTTCCAACCGAAATGATTCTATGATTCTTTGAAAGGAAAGTGGAGGAAGAACCAACCTCACCACCTCCCTCGCCACAACACAGGATGGGGGGTGGTGCTGTAATTTTGTTGTTACCAGCAAAGCCTACCTAGCAATCAGGACTATTCAAATAACTATTAACTTCTTCAGTGACTGATTTCAAATTCTGGGAAACTCTTTCCAACACTGAAGCTTTGTTTGAAATAGATTATCAATCCTTTGTAATTCCTGGCATTAAATGAGCATTCAATTACTCTACAAGCTTTATAGGTGAAGGCATTGTAGATTACACAACTCTTACCAGGCTACTAGGTCAGCAACATGTTTTAACTTTGAATACCACAGTATGGATAATTAGGCTGTTTGGTCAAATTTGGCCCAAATTCACAGGTTATAAAAAATAATGGTGCATCAAGACTCTTCTTCCTGTTAGACATGCTTTTTCAAGCTTGAGGAAGTTGACATTAGTCTTAAATCTGAATGTTGCACGCACTACTTCAGTTCAGAGGAACCCAGAAATGAGATGTCCAGATTGCCTTCAAGCCTTTCCCTCTACACCCAACAATTAACAAGGCCAAGGTTGTGTGTTTGTTCTCCATCAACATTGTTTGAATCTGGCATCACACAGACTCTTCATGTCACTGTCTTTCTCATGCCTGTACTAGCACTTGTGCAGCGAGGACCAAGCCAGAGTACAGAACTGGCCCCCAAAAAACCCAGAACTAAATCTCTAAGGTTAATTTCAGTTTCACCAGAAGTAGGCTGTGCTGCTTCAGGCTTACACCAGTCCTGAAACTAGACATTCCCTGCAACAGAAGCAAATTCCATACACCATTCATAGCTTATGAAATATATCTAAGGGCATTTTAAATCAAACCACCCTTACTGAGGTCATCTTCAGTGAAGTTAGTTTTCTGACAATGACGATTTTCACTGATTTTTCTTTTATTTTTACTCTTTGTCTAAGTGTTTCAATACATTTCATTTGCTAAATTTTAAAGAAACTTCTCCATGAACTAATTAGCAATGCCACAAACAGGTCAAAGTCACCTAGCCCTCTTTGTATGCCAGCCTTCCAGAGAACCATTCTGTTTTAATGATTCTGCACCGTAACCAAAATTCCGACTCATGAGACCAGAGAAAAGTGCTACCAAGTGAACAAACACAGCAGAGACCTTTTTTGTTTTTTTTTTTTCCCTTCACACAGTCTCTTCAGCTACTTCACCTTTAACTTTGTTCATTGCAGAAACAGCATTTCCAGATTAACACTGGTGACAGCCTTTTCAACACAAATCTTCATTCCCATTACTGTTACTGATATTGTTATGGAAAACAATTAAATTAATTGGTTTGTTTTTGATAAAGTACCTTCTCTGACTTGACCTAGCTTTCATTGTCCCATCTTAATTTTAAGTGTCACTAAGACATGGTGAGAAGGCATCTTCCCACCTACAAATACACCAGGGATTGACACTTCAGCTGATCATAGAACACAGCAACTGATAATTGTTTCAGATTCAAGGAACTCTCAGCATTTACTGTCATGCACCAAACCCACTCTTTACTCATACTTGATTAAAAATTTAATCAAGTTGTCAAGCACCCATGACAACTGCTTTAACCACAACAAAAGAATGAGAAAAGTTTGAAGTGAGCAGCACATGCAAAAATTGGAAGCAAGGCTATCAATATTAAATCTAGAAATTAAATTGCAAACAATTAAATTATGCTAACCTGTATGTGACTCCTTCCTGAGCTTAACACTCTTTCTGTAATAAGGGAGCTTGTAGAAAATCTCAATTTTGGTGCAATTCCCTAGAAGAGAGACAATAATTGAACATCAAGCTCCAACTCAAGATAAAGGGTATCAAAGAAGTAAATGTCACCTAATGTAACAAACCATTCCTAATTTTCAGCCATTTCCTTTGTTAATTTCAGCCTTTAATAAAGATAATTAGAAAAGACAGAACAGCAATGGTAAATGTCAAGATGCTAACATTTGCATTTCTGACAATTCAATTACAGATGATTATATTGCTTTTGTACAACAATTAAGGTCTGACTTTTATTTCAATACATTTCTTTGTCAAAAGCACTTTTAAAAGATTTTTCATGCCATGCTATATAGCATCAATAAAAAAATCCAGCCATGCTCTAGAAGTTTCATTAATGCTAACTTTGGAAACTTATTTATAAATAGTCTCAATTGTGCAATATTTTGTGTAAAAATATTTTGAAAATTAGTCAATTACACTGCAAATAACTATTCATTTGTAACAGTACAATTAAGAATCCCCTTTATTTCTGTAACCATTGCAGCAAAGTCTGATTTCTGTGGATTGTCTCCCATGTTCCATAACAATGTTCCACTTCCTCTCAATCCCCTCTTACACACACGGCTGGCAAGAGGCAGCCCTAGTTTGACCAGTTTGGAATCAGTGGGGTCCAACCAGTCGCCCTGGTCAACCAGCACACCTGTACCAATGGCCAGCAGCAGCATCTTTACATGGCTAACAGTTCCTTTTCAACTCATCTTTTTTTTTACTTCAGCCCTGTCTAGAAACACAAAACTTTTGAGATATCTACTTCCTGTTAAATTTAGCTAAAATTGGCCAATGTACACAAAATCTAGTGGGTGTAAATGGCTGGGATTATGACATACAAAAGGCATAAAACAACTAAAGGACTCATATTCTATAAAAAAATGGGAATAATCTATGTGCATCTTATACAGTCCTGTAAAAGCAAAGAGAGAATCAAGTGTCCTTCGAACTTTCTACCCTCTCTTCTTTCAAAAAGGACTGAGTTTGCTGCCCCAAGGCATCTGTGTGCATGGGCACTTTGGCACAGGAATACACAAAATCATGAAGAAATGAAAAGGAGCTGGTCTGTTTGTGACTCTGCCCCACATTCTTAAGAATTAGTAGTAACTTCATGAGTGAAGTCTATTGCTGAACCAACCTATCCTCTACCACCTGCCTAAACACACACTGATTTCCCATAAGGGAATACGATCTGGCCCCAGGTTAGACTTTGGAAATGAAATGACAAAAATGCCAAGAAAGCTCAGTCATAGCAATTAACAGAGTCCAGGATTCAATCAAGTCAAGTTATGGCACATAAAAAGAGATTTTAAAGCTGACCGTCTTTAATCAACTAATTTTTATTACTAATGAATTGTCAAGTGCTATCAACAATTTAGAAGGACACATCAAAATTAGTAGGTCTTCTATAAAAAGTAACAACAGAGCACCTACTGCTGTTGCAGAGACAGAATGATTACAGAATTGTTAAATGCTTATTGCTAAAAAAAAAATAAAAATCACACAAACTATGGTTTCTTCAGAAAAATGCTTTGTGGAGAGGGAATATGGGTCGGCACTCGCATACACAGGCATGGATATGTTAAAAGTAACTTATAGGCCAAAAGCAATCAAGAGTTCATCTGTTTTCTGCAGTTCCCAAACTAGGGATTGATGATGGATATTCAATGCAGTATTACATAAAGACTGTTGTATAGCTCTGAACATATATGGAAATGAAAATACAGCCAGAAAGCTGGAGGCAGAAGAATTCATCCCAAAAACTTAGTGGTGTCTGCAGCCCTGAGTGGCCTCATTAAGGGCTGTACCATTCATTAAACAGGAGTTATCTGGACAGAACACTAATTGGTCATAGAAAAACTGTAAAGGTGGTTCATATTTTGTAGAACCCAAGTTAGAAAGCAAGTCCAATATGTGCTTTTGACTGCAAGGAGCATGAGTACAAGTCTGTAGCTTAAAAAAGTATGTGAGAATATAATAGAAAGTCTTGTATTGGTATGTTAATGAAAGATAGCATAACTAAAAAGAAACTGTTTTAAGTAACATGGCAAATACTGCAGGAGGTTGGGGAACTGAGATAAGAACGTCTGTAAGAAGTCACCACCAGTCAAGGCTTAAATATATTCTGAAAGGGAAGGGTTGCAGAGAAATACAGAAGAGCCAGCAAAAGCCTCAGCTGGGCAACACTGGACCAGGAGAGATAACTCGAGGCACGTCTTGTGTGCGTATGCTGTTTGTAAGCCTCATAAGACATTTAGCCAGAGACATTATCAGCCAAGTGCCAGATTTCTGGAGGAGTTCTGATCCTCTCAACTTGGGATTCCTTCCAACTGGCAGATTAGCAGTGTTAATCAGACACTGCTTGTCACTGCCTATCTGAACTCCACAACCGTAACCTTACTGTTGCTACCTTTATTTTTATAATAAAAGACAAATATATTGGGAATCAAAGTGCCACTGAAGCACAGCTGTCAGTCAAAAATACTCAACATCTCAGCTAGCTATAAATAACTTTTCAAGTGGGAAGAATATGGCTTGACTAGCATAAGAATAACGTGAGGGTTGTCACGACCTTATTTAACACTTTCCCTTTTGCTTAGCATTCACATTTGGTGCTTGTGCTGTCAGAGTAAGCAGCAGATACTTCCCAGTAAAGCTTAGGGAACACTGGAAGACGGAGGCATTTGAGATTGCACCTCTACTGGAGGTAAAAATCGTCTCCCAGCTATGTCATTTGGCAAGCAAGGAGAGTAACCACAAGTTCTTTTTAGGAGCCTCCCTCCAATTCCATCAAACACAGCTTCTTTATTATTCCTGAAAATGGGATCAGCATGCCAAAATCCCTTCCTAAACTGCTCTTTCTGCAATGGAGAGGGAACGGAGCAAGAGATGCCTCTGCAGGTCTCATTCCAGGGCAAAGATGGATTTAATTGACACTGCTCCCAAAGACATAGAAATATATTTCCGTCTTGCATCAGTCAACTTTTTAAAGCTACTACAGTGCCATCATTCAGCTACATATCCAAATGACTCTGATCACATCTTCTCACAACTCACAAATTATGGCACCTTCTTTTTATTAGAAAACACATAATTTTTGTGTTAAAGAACTCAGTCCAACAAAATACCTCAAACTTCTCTAGTGGCTTTGCTGCTACAAAGATTCATTGTATTTTTACAAAAAACAGAAACCATTTTGCTAATACCACCTTAATTATTACCATCTCCCTATCTATTCTTTCTCAACACCAGAAAAGTACCTATTCTGTAAGTAATACGAAAGCAATACAGTCCCAACTCCTCTCTTGAGCCACCATCAACACAGAAAGGAAAAGCTGTATCCAAGAGATGCCAAGAACAAAAAATAATGGCTTTTTTTGCAGGGACAGTTTAAGCTGCTGCAGAATCATACATTTTGTATCACAAAATCACAGCTTTAATTCATTCCAATGTAACACAGCATTAGACACCAAATTAGCACTTCTAATTGCAAGTGACTGGGCAATTTCCAGGTTGCCCTTGCAGGGGAAAGATTATACCAGCTAAAAGATACCAATGACCTTTAATCAGCATTTCCCTCCTGCCATGTGTTTTTAATCCAATCTCAACAGACAGAGCAACTGAGTCCCTGTTTTCTCAATCCAAATGACTTGCCACTCCTCTAGTAAAATTTAATCAAGATAAGACAAACAAAAAACCCCACAAACCTCATCTCCCACATCATCCCAACCATTCCCAAAGTGCCTTCCTGAGTTATTCCACTGACACCTAAGGCTCAACAGTCAAACTCTATGAAAGGGAAGTGTGAGATAAATTCATTTTCATTTACTATGTGCTTGAGCCCTTATCTCCAGAAAATTAACATTAATTCATTGCACTCATTCTGCCAATTAGTTGTCATTTATCATAGCTTTTTTGAAACTGTAGAAAAGGCAAGTTACTAAATGAGTGTGAATGGCTTGAACAGACCTTAAGAAATAAGCTTTGGAACTGAAAAACAATCATGCAGCACTATGCTAAATTTCAGTTTTAGTGGTGATCTTGCACCTCAGGGAGGCCCACAGGTCAGATGGCATAGCACTATAAATTTGTACTGTCCTAAATAGTACCAAAAAATGGTCTGAATCAAAATGCTACAGAGAGAGACTGAGGTGGGAGTGTTACATGGTTTATCTGTTCAGAACCGTGCAGTTGATATGACATCTTCTTCTCTTGCATCCCTTTAACATCCAACTGCACCACAGATTAGATTGAACGGAAGATGTCTTGGTGCCATGATGCAAACCAAGTGGAAACTAACTTTTTCACATTAAATAATTTCTTGAAGCATTTTGAAAAAAGATTATGCCTTCACCAAAGTTCAACTGTGGATTCATTCATTCAACACCTGAAATGGCAAAATCTGTCAGAAGTAATCACTTTTCATTTGAAGAAGTTCAAGGGTTTTCTTCAGTGAAACACACTGTATCATAAATACAATTCACAGATATTCACTCACTGTAAAAGAAGAGGACCTCTTCATTAAAATCTCACGATCTAAACCATGGTGCCCAGAGGTAAGCTTAGGGTCAGGAAACAGGAAATCTCTTGTATTTTCTTCATATGTAGCTAGAATTTTTCCTACTAAAAAGAAAATATATACTTTAATTGGAAAATAGGCAAAGCCATATACTACAGACATCACAAAAGACCCTATTGAAACTAAGATAAATTTTGTTCTTTAAAAATTAACAGCATGGCTCTAAAACTCATATCACACTAGGAAATAACCTCATCAAGTTAATCAGCAGCAGAAATGTGCAGGATCTACTCTGAAAGTATGTTTGACTGTTACTGTAAAAAAAATATAGAACAGTTAACGCAATCTTTAAGAGACAAATGAGAATTTTTTTGTAGGTAAGTCTTCAGTAGTTTTCCTCTTTTTTCCCTTCCATGCCACAGAGGAAACCAGTATTTTTCTGAATGGCAGCCAATCACTTGTGAAAAACTGTATAATTCTATATTAAAGAATAGTAATAGTGGTAGTAATAGTAGGCATTGTAGTAAGAAAGATACATAGCAACATCCAAATCATTATCTCAAGATTTTCTCACTATCCTACCATTTGGTACCTTAAAAAAAAAAGTTCTCTAGGGGAAAACCTTAAATATATATTATTAAAAAATTTAAATTGTGCTATTGCAGTCATCGTGTCAGCTTATGTTGGGCTGTATCACACCTATCTCTGACTCCTGAAATGTAATTCCTTATCGAAGATCTTTCACCCTCCCACAACAAAAATCCATGTTCAGTAGATTTCTTTAAGTAAACAGTCTGGCGAGTCAGCCGAGAGGAGCAATGGTTTCCTTGAAAGTACTGAGGACAAGTGACAGAGAGTGCTTTTAATACCACAGTTTCCAAAAGAGTCCTCTTTAAAACTTGACTTTATTTCCAATAAAATGCAGATTTACATTATTCATGGGAACACTTGAATTTCATTAAAATAGATTTTTATAATCACACAAACCAATAACAGAAGTATGACAAATCGCTATTTATTATCTCCACATATCCCAAGAGGCCTGTAATACTTATAGTGAGGATAACAGTTTTCCCAATGGTCACCATTAAAATGGAAGGAAAAAAAGTGTCATTCTGAGAACAAGATTATGCACTCTGAAATTTCACAGACAGCCACTTTGCAAGTGAATTGTGATGCAGTTAATAAGTGTGCACTGGATGATTTCAGTTTATTTTCCATTTTTAAAATATTATCACTTTCCTAAGCCTGAATATGGTACATTTCAATATTCAGTTATTATTCTCTTTCAAGAATAAGATCCTCTTGATCTATTAACATTTTATATTCAGAGGACTATTTGTTGAAGAGCTTTCTATGTTGTTTGTGTGTTGGAAAAAAGTGATTGTGCTGTAATGGGCAATGTCCTCATGGAAATTCACCTATTAAACTGCATCATTTATGAAGAGACTGATACAATACCTGGAGGAATGAGCTGTATTAGTTCAAGTACTGCTGTGTCAACTAGAAAGGAAAAAAGTTTTTTCATGAGTTAAAAAAAACTAAAATGGAAAGTAACTCTAATAGTCAAAACCCAAGAAAAATGGCTCACTGATTTAAGCTTCGGAGCACTGTACATAGCTACACTATTTCCACTACACCACCAAAAAGAGAAAATTAAGAACACCTTGCATAACTACCATTGACGAACACAACAGCATTAGCAGCGTAAAAATGATAACTCTGACTTAGAACTTGGGAAGTTTGATCTGCTGCCACATCTGTCCTTTGAAGACAACTTTTGAAGAAGATGACACAAACTTTGCCACTTTTTCAGATAACTTCCATTATGAGGTAGCATATTGCTGGAGCTTGAGTTCAGGGTCAGTGTTGTCTCACTGCAATTGATTATGCTCCACATGTGGCAAGACATATAATTTTCTTAGAGTGAAAAGAATAATTTTACAAAAATCAAAGGTTTGTGCTTATATTATTTGAAAATTAATCAAATAAATGATAAGGTAAAGGAATCTATTACCTATCTGGATAACCAGCACAGCATTAGCAGCGTAAAAATGATAACTCTAAGTTTGACTTAGAACTTGGGAAGTTTGATCTGCTGCCACATCTGTCCTTTGAAGACAACTTTTGAAGAAGATGACACAAACTTTGCCACTTTTTCAGATAACTTCCATTATGAGGTAGCATATTGCTGGAGCTTGAGTTCAGGGTCAGTGTTGTCTCACTGCAATTGATTATGCTCCACATGTGGCAAGACATATAATTTTCTTAGAGTGAAAAGAATAATTTTACAAAAATCAAAGGTTTGTGCTTATATTATTTGAAAATTAATCAAATAAATGATAAGGTAAAGGAATCTATTACCTATCTGGATAACCAGCTGGATTTTCCATTAATTATGACTTTGCACTCTTTTCCTGTCTTAAAGCTTCTAGCGTACATTTCTAGAGGCATTTTGTTAACAGTATTTTGGGTAAGGTAATAATAACCAAAAGACAGCCCAAAAACATCTGCCTGCACTTGACAACGAATATTCTATTCTAAAAACCCACTAGGGCTAGGGTCCTGCTTATTTAGTACATGATATATTATATTGGTTACGCACTAGCTTTTCAGAGAACAGGCTCCTGGTAGAAAAATTATCACATACTTTAAACCTCCAAAAAGTCTTTAGAGGCCATATATGCATGGCATTAACACATACAACATCATACACATAAAAAGCAAAACCTACGTTCCAGTAACTCCACAAGGTCTCCAGGATCAACTATATCAGCAAATGCCTGGAAAAGAAATTAATAAATAATAAGAATAGCATGGTCAAAGTCATCAGATGGACCTCTGGGGAAAGAGAAGGGAGAAAAAAAATTTAAAAAAATCAATATTATTCCTTCCTTCAGATGGTTGCCAAGAGTCCTATCCCCATTGGAAAAAGAAAGGAAACTGAAATTATCATTTGGCACATGATCAACTTCATTGAGCGCTAGCAGTTCTTGTCATATGCTTTCTCGTCATTCAGGGTTACCTCTCCATATTTAAATTAGGAAGTATTGTGAAGAGTTGAACACATAGAGATAAGTACTGTCTGAGAAAATTCAAGGCAAAGATAAATTGCTTAATGTACTAGAATTCTGATAGATGAAGAATACGTTCTTTAATATATTAGTAATGCTTTAAGGTTAATTTTCATGGAAGTGACTATTCATGTACAGAGTACTTTTCAGGGTTTGTGTTTTTTTTTAACCTGAATCCCATGTGAATAGATGGCAAGGAACAGGGGGAGGATGTCACGCTGGATATTCAGCAGCTTATACACTTCCCCCTCATTCTGTACAAAAGGCTCAATTTTGCTGTTCAAGATGCCAAACACAAAAAAATACCAAAGTACCGGTGCTCCATAAGAATCTAGACCTATCCAATAGCTATTTGTAAGAAGACAGGTATTATTCTCAGCTTTCTTGTTCACCTCTTTTGTTAGCAGATAGATCTTGGTGCCTTGGAGTTCCCCCTAATTTAAATTAAAACAGTATTCAGTACATTTCCCGTAGGTAGTTTGTGGTATGTTTGCTTTTAAAGAACTACTTTTTTTTTCTTTTTCTTTTTTACTGTTCAGTAGCTGCTGAAATTATCACTTTTGTATCTTACCCACATCACTAGAGCATTGCTGATGTTTACTCAGTCTGGTTTTCAAAGTGCTGTGGGATGCTTAAAGGAAAAGAACTAGAAAGGGCAAAGTATTATTATTCATAGGTAGTCAAGAAGCCAGATCATATCTGTACGATAGTGTGTTTCATTATCCCTGTGGTACTAATAATGAAGCTAGCAAGGACCCAGAATATGTGATAAACAACTATAAATTATAAAGCCAGAGTACCAACCTGGGAATTCTGGTGACAAACCATGAAAAAAGTATCTCAAAGGGAGAAAGATGTCACCAAAAAGGCTTGAGCTGCTATTCTATCTTTCTACTAAATTAAGTTGACTCTCCTATATCTTATAGTCTTTGTTCTTCACCTTGCCATAATTTTTAGAACAACAACATTCAGTTCCTTCCAAGCCAGGAAAACAGACACTGAAAAAGGACAGTTCGCAAAAGAATGAACAAACACCTCAAAAGCCTCATCATACATTATAATCTTCAGTATGTGTAATTCTTGAGTCACCGTGTGGATAACATAGGTACACACATACTTTGAGCTGAAGAGAAGCAGGAGTTATAATGCTGTGCCATCCTGAATGTGATTACTTGTGCTCAGGGGTTTTGCAGTGAGTTTTTGCAGAGCTTGGGATGGGTTTTATTTGGCTTGTATTAGCTCTTGACATTATCTTACCTTTTCAAATACTAGTTTTTCTTGAAAGAAGAGTGGAAATGCTGCAGGGACGCATTGAGTTTTTTTGTATTGTCCAAGTACAGTGACACTGAGATAAAGCTCCTCTTTGTCTTTCAACAGCACTCCGGGGCAAGTTACCTGTAAGAGTAACACATTCATTAAACAAACTGAACTTTAGTTATAGAAGTTAATGTCTGTTTTCAAGATAAAAATGAAATGGTCAAGGCTGAAATGGTTGATTTCTGAGAGTCAGATTATTACAGATTAGAGTGAAAAAATTTCTTGTCTAAAGCAATTCTGTTTGAACAGACTGACCAGGAAAAATAGCCATGATTTAAAAATAATCAGGACCAAATCCTGTAAGTAAAAATACTCCACTGTCTTTAACCAAAACTGAAACCTGGTATTCCAATCCCAGGTTAATAAAGTTAAAGGCAAGCACTGTAAAAGAGGTAATCATCAAGGGTCACAACAGATTCTATATGAAGAGTCATGTACAATGAAGTCTACATGATGCCAAGACATAAAACCCAATCCAAATTTTAGCCTACCCACAAAGAGAATGAAGCTGGTAAATGTACATGCTTAGATATCCATACTCTGTTCAGCCACAAAAAAAAGGGCAAGGTTATTTGCAAATAGTAAATTAATTTTGCCTTCTAATATGTAAATGAAAAAAAAAGCAACTGTTGTTCCATTACTATCAGGCACACAGCACACACAGCTCTATCTGAGAAGTCTGCCCACCGTGGAGGGTATTCAAGGCAGAGAAGGTTCGTCCTTAGGCTGCCAGATACTGCCACTAATCTCTCAACTTTCTCTGGACAATTCTTATTCTTTACGTAAGAAGTTGGTTATGCTTTTAAAGCTCTGATGAACATCAGACGTTCTTACTTGTGTTTTCACTGCAAGGATGTACACAACTCCTTGCAAAACTATTTGCTATTTTCTCCAAGCCACATAGTTTTATTCTATTACCCAGCCAGAGAATTGTCACCTTTCATTTCAGTTCTACTGCTCACTTTTTATCACAGTATAATAAATATGAGGTTGTCTCTTCCAACATAAGGTTTGCTGGAGAAAGTGTTCAGACTTTCAATTGCCAGGTAGAAAGACAAAGGAGGAGAGTGACAGGAATTAAAATAAGTGCTTTGGTTACAGTCTCCTACTCCCAAATGAATGTTTTACTTGAGAAATCCTCACCGGATCTAAAAGAAAAGTATATGAACAGCAGAAAAACAGCCTCAGGTGAAAGAAGTAACAGAAACCAATGGGTGATAGATTATTATAGATACAGTATAAGCTAAAAAATAGTGCTTCTACTCATAAATATCCAAGGAGGGGAAAAAAAAGTTTCTTTCCATGTAAATGAAGGCTTCAAATCTGCAAGAAAACTGCCAGAATAATAGATATCCCAATTGAAACACTGTCAAGTATTAAACAGCTTGTATGACACTCCTGCAGTTACAAGTGTGAATAGGAGTGAGGGAAAGAGACAGGTTTCATTCATACAAGGCAAGATCCACCAAACTACATACAACAAGTCATATTAGCTTACTTCTCACTTTTCTTTTTGACGTTTTTGTAGAATTTACAATAATTTTTATCTGAGTTTTCGTGCCTTTCACCTTAAAGAAGGCAACTAATACTTGCCTATTTATCGAGTTCCCTATTAAGGGCAATAGACAGTATTAACTTCTGCTGAGTGCAAGCTTCTAGATAGAATAGCATTTTGGACTTAGGAGTTGCAAAAATAATCTTCTCAATGTGAAGAGATGCCATTTTAGTCTCCTTACCTGGCAGTAATCCACAATGCTATTAATTCATCTTAGTGCTTAAAGCTTTACCTACCGTCAGTGCTGCATTTGTGAATTCTCCATGTAGCAATGACATGAAGAATAATGTGCATTTCATTCTGTTGCTACATGAGCAATCTAAATGCCAGCAGCAGATGTAAGTACCAAAATTAGTCTCAAAAAACAAATAACAATGAAATCTCAGTCTGAGCAATCATGAATTATTCAATTTAAATTAACGGCAGGATAAACCAAATAAGGTCTTTAACTAAGGCTTTCCATTTCAGAAGAGCAACCTTTCAGAAATGAAGAAAACTAGCAGTGAAATAAACCAAAGAGCTCGTGGACTCTGACAGGAAAAGACCTTGGAATTTCATTAAGTCCAAAGGAGCAAACCCCATCTGTATCCTAAAGCAAGGGAAAAAACAAAAAGGACAGAACTTCTGACACAAGTGGTTAGGTTTCAAAGAGAGTTGAGAAATATGCAAAGCATTTTAAAAGAACAGGAAAACCAATCAGAAATCTGGACAAGACTTCAGTCACAAATAAAGCAAACAAGGAAAAAACAAGTGGAGGTAGTATAAATAAATCAACCAGGATGTGAAAAACTAACAAATCTATGTCCCAAACAAAACTGAGTATTTTGTCTTGGTTTTGTGATACTGAATACAGGAGAAAAAAAAACAACAACACCTTAAAGAAGGAAATGATGGAAACTGAAGTTACTCAATATGCATGTGCACTAGGCTTGGATCAAGGAGTCACAGGGAGGATGAATCATCTTCAGACCAGGTTCTGAAATAATGTAATTTTTCTTGCTGGATCTATATATTATTAAAACCTACGTTACAAAAACAAGGATAGTAGCATCTGCTGAAAAAATAACAAACACAAGGCCCATGTGAGACGGAAAAAGAGATCTGAAAAATTATAACCCCACTAATCAGAATATTTAAATAGGCAAAAGTAAAGAATAAAGGATATTGAGTAAAACATTACTAGAAAAAAAGCCCAGCTGCATGTGTTCCATAAAAATAGATCAGTCAAGCAAAACCTGACATTTTCTTGAAAGCCTATTTTCTGGACAAAGGATATCTAATTTATCTGGACATCAGTAACATCATATGGTGCCACATGAGAAATTATTACTTATGAGGCAGAAGTTGAGTGTTAGGGAGAAAGTCTAAGGTGATACAGAACCAGCCAAAGGACAGCATCAATAATGTGCAAAACTGGGAGGCATCAAGCTGAGGGTTACTATTAAAAATGTTCCTCTATATATCCTGGGATCCATGCCTTTTAATATTTTTAATGACCCTGACACAAGAAGTCAGAGTGTTCTCATGAAATTTTTCCAATTAAAATTCAGAAATCATCAGAGGTCAACAAAAAGATATAGAAGATCCTCTTTGTGGGACCGCAGTAACACAAATGAGATGCACCTACTGTGTATTAACAACAGCTTCTGCTTTCACCGGGGGAGGTAACCTTCAAAACTGGCTGAGGGGAAGATGATGAGTGTGTTAATAAATGATAGCATAACTGCAATGCAGCTGTGAAGAGACTAATATTAAGACACATAGGATGAATGTTGGACCTTTTTTCTCTGACATCACCGAAGGCAACAGTGAGACCCCATCTGGAATGCTGAATTCAATTCTGGTCATGATCAATGCAAATTCAAAGTGGAAGAGTAGCATCCACCCCTGAGATGATCAGAAGACTGGTGAGCCTATCACACAAAATACTACCAGAAGAACCAGGTCGCTTTAGCTGACAAAGATGAACTGTGAAATGACAGAACTGCTGCCCAAAAAATACATCAAGAGAGCAAATACCAAGGAAGGAAAAAAATTATTTAAGTGAAAGGCCAATGTTGACATTTGTGTAAGGGCAGAGCATCAACCAGACAGAAGGAAATTTAGGCTGGAAAGTTTTCAAACCATCACAGGAATGAAATGCCAAAGTAGGCTCCAGTGGGGCAAAAAAAGGCAAAACAAGTGCTTCAAAAACAGACTAAATACATTTTTTAAAAGGGTTATCTAACAGAAATTATGCAAGGATGTAATTGAACACCCATGCATTCTGAAAGGGGTACTCAGATCTGTGTTGGAGACTTCCTGTTCTCTCCATTTCCACTATTATTTGTAGCCTTGGGAGCAGGGTGAATAACAAACATCCCACAACTGAAGAAGCCTGACCCTGGGGCAACGCCTTTCCTCTACTCCCTCCTGACACATGAATAGCTCATGGCAGTAGGAACACAAGAAGAAAGCACATCTGCTCCTTTCCAGGAACCAAGCAGGCCTTTGCATTGTATTCTATATATAATTATTAAGACAAACACTAGCTGTTGAGACAGCAGAGCAATACAATTAGAGTGATATCCTCACCATCTATGTGTAGAAATTCACAGCTCTACTTTCAGAGCAGCCACACAGGTTTGGGAACAAAGGTGTTTCCCAGTATGTACTTTCTGGATCTGCACTTGAATTTTTTTGGATGACACCTCAGGTTTTCCTTTCAGTAGCAAGTGTTCTGGCAGCACTTGCCCTGTGAGGAGGCTAAACTTCTGGATTACAGTGACCAGGAGCTATGAAGCCAACAACTCCAGAATAAAAGAGCACTATCTACGGCAGATACTTCTTAAAAGTTAACAGGAGAATAACAGAGACTCATACTTTACTCCCACCTTGTACATAAGTAGAAAACTTTGCAAAGTGCACAAGGTACAGTCCTAACGTGATTAATGTAAAAACTTTCCACTTTCACATCTATTGACCTCACCATCCACATAACACTCAGGGACTTGAGAGCTGCCCAGTGCAGGGGTGGGGAGGTCGCCTTGCAGGGACCTCATCACTGGTAGGGGTACACAGACCAGGTACAAGCTGCTGTCTCCGGGATTTCTTTTGCTCCGTTTTTTCACGGGTGCTTTTTCTACAGTATACAGCTTCCCAAGACTTAGCATCTCTTAAAAAAAGCCTTTTCCTCAGGCAAGCGAGAGCTCTGATGGAGCACGGCGGCTGCTCACCCCAGCAGGGGGGCAGAGGGACCAGCTGCCAGAGAATGCACACACAGAAGGGGCACAAGTAGCCCAGGAGCCAGCCTGAGCTGGAGTTCCTGACGGAGGGCGGCCGCCCTCTGGGCAGCAGGGCCCGAACCCGCCTCCCAAAAGAACGGCCGGGCCGGGAGAGCGGGGCGGCGGCCGAGAGGGGGAAGCGGTGCCGGAAGGGGAAACGGCGGCTTCTCTTCCAAGCCTGCGGCCCGGCTGAGGACGGCGGGGTGCGCGGCCCCGGGCACTCACCGAGCGGATATCCAGCTGCAGGACGCAGAACAGGGCTTTCCGCGGCATGGACGGGCGGGCCGGGGCGAGGGCCCGCCGGCTGCCGGCCCGCTCCGGCTCAGCCGCGCCGCGGGGCAGACGCCGTTGTCACGGCAACCGGAGGAGCATTTCCGGCCCCCGCCGCGCTGCGCATGCGCACTGCTCCTCACGGAGGGTGGGCGACGGCGGCGGGGCCGGGGCGGGGGGAGCCTCCCGCCGGCTCTGGCCTCGCACTGCCCCGGTGGCTGCGGGTCCCCGTTACGGCGCGGCTTCCCCTCCTTCCCGCAACGCCCTGCGCTCTCCGGCCGCTTCTCGGCCACCATCACTCCCACAGGGCCTTGCGCCCCGGGGTGCGCCCCGGCCCCTTCCCACAATGCCCCGCGCCAAGGACCGTTAGCTCTTCCCGCAATGGCGGGCTCGGCTCCCAGCAGGGGTGTGTGGTGCTGCTGGGGAGCTGCCGGGTTGTGTCAAAGGGGGAATAATTTTTCAGTCCTTCAGCCCTCCCCAGGGGCAGACAGTCACAATGATGGGTGCCGTGTTGAAAGACGGGTGCTGGCGCAAAGTGAAAGCCTCCCAGCTCCCAGAGAGGCCGCACAAGAGCAGAGAATGGCTCTGAGGCGTCTCAAAGGAGCACGAAGCTCGGGACATGGCAGTATCCCTGTAGCTTCTTGGGTCTCCTGTGGAAAGGTGCCAGGAGAACCTTCCCTTTAGAAAAAGGGGGATACCAACCAACTTGTGTTGGTGGGTGAGGCACAGAGAGGACGTGGGATATTCTGACAGGTCCCATTTCCAGAGACTCATCCGCACGCTCGCATCTGAAACTGCTTTTTCAGGCCTACCTCTCGGCTTGCATTACAGGACAAATTAAAATGCACGCCACTGATCTTGATCGCCGTTACGACCATATAAATGATATTCCCCAACTCCTTTGCTGCTAAGTTGTTCTCAGTGTATTTACAGTCACATATAATACCAAAATAGACTGACTTTCTGTTTTGGCAACTGCAGTTCATTTCAGCCACAGACTGTGAGGGAGTTTAAGCCTTTAAATAGTCTTTCCAAATTTACAAGTGCAGATGTAGATGGGAGAAAACACAGTGGGTAATTATAATTGTGTCCAAAAGAGAGCAGTGGCTCACATGTATCCCATGGCTTGCTTTATTTTATTTTGACAATCTCATAGAAAAATCGTGCAGAGCAATCTAGAAAGCTAGTACTAAGTGATCTGGAAAGAATCGGCGTTTTCAAGATGCTTTGGGTTTTAATTTGTGGTTTTTTGGTTTTGTTTTTTTTTTTTAAGAAAGCTATGCAAACAATGTAATATGCCAGTGCAGACAAAAGTAAAATCTACAAATGAATTAAATATCACTACTAATACTTGACACTAATAAATGACTGGATATGCAGGCCTAATTTTCAGTAATGTGACTTCTGTAACAGCTCTAAGTCTTTTTTTCTATTTTTTTTTTTTTAATGGTCTGAGCAAAGGACAGGATTCTGTATTTAGGGCCCGGAAAAGACTCATTTTTGAATTGCAAACCTCTAATACTTATATTAAGGAGGGGTTTACACTTGGATAAAATAATTTTCTATGCCTTATCAGTCTCAAGGTTATGAATAGCATTCCAGAGTTAATGAGAAGAAAATTCTCAAAGATCCATGGCCTCAGATGGTAACAGTATTAAAATGGTTTATTGCTTATTTTCAGGTACCTTTCACATACATGCTTTTTGGAGGGATAAATAATGTGTTAAGGATTGTGAAGTATGAGATATTATGGTAAGTGTGGCCATACAGGAACAGAAGATAGATAAATGCTGAAATCAAAAATGGCATTATGTTTGTGGTGAAAATTTAATATCCATGTGCAGTGCCCTGGAACAGAAGTACTTTATAACCCTTGAAAAAGGAGCACAAGGCAGGACAGAAAGCTTCTCAAAGTGATAAGGCAGTGATGAATTTCAGTGCTTTTCCCTGGTAAGCCAGGGAAAATCTGGGTTAGACTGGAGGGTTACGTACCGTGCACAGAGATGCTTCTCTGTCCCTCTGGTCTGCAGAGTTTCTGCCACTTTGCCCCGCTGGGCCTTGGAAGGAACGGCTGCTGCTGCAGTGCTTTTCCTGTCCAGCCCCTTCTGCAGCAGTGTGAGATCCATCTGGACCTTCTCGTTATGATGAAGTGCATAATTTAGTCTTACATTCGCACTGCAGGAACAATGATGCAGGGATTTGGGGGACAGCGAGGGGAAACCCTGACTTTCAGCACAAATCCGTTTGCTAATAAGCAAAGCTGATAAGCAAAACCACAAAAAGTGCATGCTATTTTAATAGACCTGAGGTTTTAACTGCTATAAAGTTTCCCTGCTGTGAAAGCGCTTGAATTCCTTTACTTTGACAAAAGTAAATCTTCTTGTAACGCTACTTATACTTAGGTTCCATGCAATAAAGAGCCTGGATGACAGCTGTGCATTATGTTAAGGGTTTTGCAATCTCCTCCATTTAAAAGCTTCATCTTTTTCTCTCTTCCAGCCCCTCTGACATGCTTGCTATGGAAGAGCTCTGGTATAAGCCAAATATTCAATTCTGCTCTTATTTCTGTCATTGCAAACCAGGAGTAACTCAAAAGAGTGAGGTTGCACTGGTTTAAGATAGTTATCCCCAGACTTACACCATATTGTTGCAGTGTTCCTGAGGGTCAGGTTTCAGGAGTTGCAATGTATTGAAATATGCTACAAAATAAGTAAAGTGGGAAAAATGGGAAGAGTCAGGTTTGCAAACAGTGGATGTTCTAAAGTTGTGGATTAGACAGGATTAGATCAGATAAGACTGGAGATCAGAGAGCAGGTCTAAGATGACTGAGTTTCTCAGAGATACACTTTCGGCTTAGAAGCCAAGAATGGTTTTCTCCTTAAACTTAGGAAGCATGACTCCGGGTGCAAAGTGGCGTAGCACAGTCATTCTGGCAATAAGAATGAGGGAAATAAAGGAGGTTTCCACATTTTTCCACCTTCTACTGCAGTTCTTTTGAGTGTTGTCAGAGAGCCGTTTTTGCCCGCTTTAAGCCCCTGATGTTGACGGAGCAGCCAGAAGAGATCTCTGTCTTACTGCACTTGGAGCCCTGTATTTAGATATCATCCCTGAGTACGGCTGTCTTGTCATTAATAACTGTGGAGAATTCCAGGAAGACACCTGCTCAAATAACAGCAACAGATTACGAGATATGGAAAGATTTCCATATTAGAAAAGGCAAACAAACAAAACATTAGGACTGTTTTACTTTGGAGAGGAGAAAAATAAGATGTAATACAAAAGAGGTACATAAGGGACTGAATAATATGTAGAAATGGGTTCTTCTGTTTACCCGTGCCTATTTATCCTTTCAAAGGACACATGCAATGAAATTAAAAGACAACACAATCAAAACTGATAGAAGAAAGTACTTTAGATAGTGGGACTCATTATCACAAGATACATTCAACAGCGTTCAAAGCAGAACCAGAGCGCTTCAGGGACCCCATAGGACAATACCCACATGCATTACGTAGTTTGATCTTCTCACTCACTGCTAGGTTAAATGTGCAATTCACAAAAGTCAATTCCTGTGCAAAGAAGGGTAGTCGTGGAAAACAGCCAGCAGAAGTTAAGGCTAAACAATCCCAGTACGCTCTGGAGCAGAGCTGGAAGAATTTTGTAATGTGAGAGATTCTAATAGGATCTAAGGGGACCAAAGTGAATTGCATTACTGCGGACAGTAATGTAACAGGGAAGGTAGGGTGTTAGATTATTGATGAGGACAGAGGATGAAGATTACCTGAGGGTGTCAGCACACTCTTTGCAAAATACGTTTTCATCTAATCTTTCTACTTTAAAGCAGGAAAAAAAGTTGTCCAGAAGTTAGCACTCATTAATATCCATTGCTTTAGAGAAAGGCCACAATGATTTTGTCGATCCCATCTTATTGAGCGTCTTGCTCTTTCCTAACGTGCAAGGACAAAACTGAGCAGAGCTCTCAGGCTTCCTTGATGAACCTACAAGTTGCTACAGGCAAAAGGCCACCTGGTTGTGGTGTTGTATAGGCAAAACAGCCACCTTTCTTCCCTGTGCTCTCCGGGGCAAGAGATGCCTACTGAAGAGCATTTTACACTACACATCTGGAGAAACTCACCGCCTCTCCAACATTTCACCATGGCTCAGCCATGACAGAGCAATTCCTCTGTACTGCTGCTAAGCCAACACTCCCTTTGGTGGATGTGACCATCAACTTCACTGATTCTTGATGCAAGTCATGCCTGCAACAACAACAACAAAAGGCAAGCTACCTAAAGACACTGAGGTTTTTTTAACATGTAAGCTGTTTTCCAGGTCAGCTAAATTCTTTCTTGACTGGCTGCAGCCAAAGAAGAAAGAAAATCTGATTTGATTACAGCCACTAGAGGAATATTCCAGATCTTGAATTCAGCTGTAGTAATTGGAAAGTTGCATTTTAAAGGAATGATCTAAATTCATCTGAGATAACTTTTCTGAATACAGTCTTAGGAATTCAGAAATGGTGAAGGTACAGCCAGCCAAGGCTGTACTAGCTTTGTACCCCTAGAAAGTTCCTGGGCTCTCCCTTCCTCAGTTCAAAAGAGGTAACAATTTCCTCTGTGTTTTACATTTTTGAAAAGTTGTCTTAGATGGAGACATTGCCACAGCGAAGTTCTTGCTTGAAACAAAATTCTTCTAACCAAGTTATAAACCCCTGAAAATAGGGGTTTATAATGGGAGTGCTGATAGACCCTTAACAATAGCGTTGTGAATGGTGCTGCTATAATTAATGATACTTCAGAAAGATTTATGGTCCTTAGACAGAGATAAAACAGAAATATCATTGCTTCTTTGCCTCCCATCATTTTATCCTCTATGAAATTTTATGTGAAATAAGTCAAATGAAAAATGTAAGCTCTTAATCTTTTCCCAGAGTCCTGTCTCTCACTTGATGAACACTTTTGCAGAATAAATTAGAGTTCTTTATTCCTTATGTATGTACAGCTCTGTATTTAAAAAGCAAAGAAAAGAACATTGTTGGGTTGGCAAAGCAACTCAAGATGATGG